TCTGTCTAAATCTTTGACCACGAAAAGCTTCTGCGATCCGGGAGGGAGCTTCGGACAAAGTTTCTACGTCGAGATCGGACCTAGCCCACGTTTCCTGGAATCCCGATCTTTGCCAATCTTGTCCTAGACTTTTGCTTGCGGCGTAGGTTCTTGGACCTTTTAGCCCTTGGGAACATCTCGTTTTATCGGAATTGAAAGCGATTTTAAAAGCAGGAATTCCGTATCTTGGAGTGGATTGGTCCCGACTCCAGTATATGATGGAGCATATGATAGATAGGTCGCGAGCGATTAATCCTTGATTCGAAGTTTCGACGTGGATGATCTGTCTTTGATTGGATCGGAGAGAGATGAGCTCAGATCGGCGTCGGGAAATTTCGACCGAGATGCCACCCGACTGCTGAACCTAAAAGGGTCTTGGGTTCGTAGCTATCTAACGTCAACATCGTTCCTTTATTTTTTTTCTTGACCAAACTTCCGTGATTTTTTTAACAGATGAATTAGTCGGACACGCATAATCATTGGATAAGACCCATTTGAAACCTACTACAATTATGGAGCTTGCAGGAGTTGGGAAAGTCTTAAGGATGTCCATGATATTCAAAGGTCAAGATATCACATGAAAAAAATCACCAAGTTGCCCCGAATGAAGCATGTCCCTCTTCTTCAAGATAGCTCCTTAGGACACATGAGAAGTACAAACACACATGTACAATTTGTCCCATTTGTAATTCCTTTCCTTGCCCCCTCCCCCCCTCGATCAACCATCGGAAGTCAACCGTGTCTGTCTGATAAAAAGCTTCTCATTTGAATTCTCAAATGCTGACGGAAAGTAACCCTAAGGAAAAAGTCCACAATTCCCAAGAAAAACGAGCTGATCACCACTAACCCACTAGTTAATTTTACTTTGAAAAGCTATTAAATTTTGACATTTCCGCAGAAACTGGTCGAAATCTTCAAGTCCACCACAACCAAAAGCCAAAGGGGACACTTGGCCTGAAAGGTCCACTTCACCCGCAAGCAAAGAACAAACAGATTCGACAGTTGAAAACGAGTAAAGGAAGGACGATCAGGTCGCACGGGGGGGGTTCATGGGGTTCTGAGGAAGCTGCCTGCTACAGTCGGCACGTCACTTCCAAAGGGTTTGTTTTTGTGACAATGAAAAGCGAAGTTCCCACGCACACGGCTCACCCCCACACCGGAAATGGAAATATATTCTTCTTGCCAGGGGTACTGAAGTGATTTCGTGTCCCTCCCGCTCCACCCCCTCCATCGGGTGGCAGTGTAATTTTGTTGACCCGGAGAGGGCAATTTTTTTAATGTGGGTAATAGCCTTATAAGTTGGGTATAGAGCTCCACACATGCATACTTTTAGGAGAGAGAGAGAGAGAGAGAGAGAGAGAGAGAGCAGACAGATGGACAGAGCGGAAAGAGAGGGAGGGGCAAGTTGGTGGTTTCTTGTTCTTGAAGAGTCAGGGAGCTGAGCTGAGCTGAGGTGAACTGAGAGTTCTGTGGCTCAGGTAAGCAATTTGATATGTCTTTTGAGCTCTTGATTGAGTACGAATTTGAAAGATGGTTGTGATTTTCATCGAAGATACGTGAGGATTTTCTGTCTTTTCCCCGTGAAGTACTCTTCTTGTACGATTTTCCCGGACAAAATTTGCATCTTTTCATGGTTGACGGATTCTTGAGTGAGCCGGAATGTTGTTTTCGTGATTTCGTAAGATGGGTATGTCGTAGAATTCTGGGGAGGTGTTTTCTCAGCTGATATGGCTCATGAAGATTGCAACTTTTGCATGAATTTGGCTTCCTTTGACCTTCTGATGGGTGATTTAGGTTGGGGAATCAAAATTAAGTTCTCTGTTTATCAAATTGGCGGGTTGATTTCTGTTCGGATCTGGTTTATACGCCAAAATTTCTAGCTTTTTGATCCAAAGTGCAGGGCTAGCTGTTCAGTGGAACCTGTAGTTGGTCAGAATTTCATATACATAAAAAATTTCCCCCGTCCCACAGTAGGTTTTGCAGCCGCTATAAGATGCCTTTTCTGTCTCTTTTTTTCGTTCTTTTTTACTGTTTGTGTCAACGATGGCAGAGACTAAGGAATGAACATGGTGGCTAAAGTAGTAACTGTTTTCTAATCTTTCACGTGATTTGTGTAATTGGGATTAATGCATTGTTCTTCTACTTTTGATTTTTAGTCCCTACTCGTTTATGCCTTTAATAAGCTACACGAGTTACTGGAAGAGAATGGATACTGATTTTGTTCATATATGTGGATGAGGTGTTTGAAACGATCAATGATTGTAATTGACACTGTACCTTTTCCCCCCAGCGGTTTCAGATATTGCGACATTTACACATCGGTGCGAGGAATCACTTTGCTGCTGAGTATCGTATTAAGGAATTCTACGGTGCGATGAAACCAGATCACTGGTTTTGAGATTGCCATGTTTGTTCTTATGGCCTGAGTGATGTTGTGGATTACATAAAAGATTCTGCTAGAAAGCTTCCAGTATTATCCGCAAGTCAATCACCTCGAATCCTCCTAAATGCAAACATCTGGGAACCGCCAGAATTCGGCTGGCATCCATGGGTTATACCATCAACCCGTGCAAGACATCGACCCTTATTATATGCCTAATTTTCAGATCGTGGAAAACAATGTCAGTCCAGACATTGGCAGCCAAGGGACTAATTTCACCTTTCAGGCTTACAATGAGCAGTTCTTCACCCTCGAATCTGCTCCAGCCGTTTCCGGTTTTGTTTCGTACAATTCCCCTTCGGCTGTGAGCGTCGCGTCTAACAGGAGTCCCTTTTCGACTCAAGGTTCACATTCGTATGTGTCAGATGCGCAACATTCTTCCGACAATCTTTATGGATCGCCCATCAGTGGTTCTTCAGTGGCTTGTGGTGGCAGCCAGATGTGGGACAAGCTGAGGGAGCTGGAAAATTCGTTGCTTGGACCTGAATCTGATTTCAGTGATAGCTGCAATTGTTGCCTAAATAGTGGGAGCCACCAATTCACGTCAACTGGGCAGTGGGATGTAAATCAGATTATAGAGATGAACCCTAGATTGGATTTGAAGCAAGTGCTCATTGTCTGTGCACAAGCGATTGCCGAAGCTGACATGCCTAAGACGGCTGGTTTGATGGAGTTGTTGGAGAGGATTGTATCTGTCTCGGGAGATCCAATCCAACGGTTGGGTGCTTACTTATTGGAAGGGCTTAGAGCGAGATTGGAATCATCTGGGAGCATAATCTACAGAAAGCTCAAGTGCAAAGAGCCCACTAGCTCGGAATTGATGTCTTACATGCACATCCTCTATCAGATTTGTCCATACTGGAAGTTTGCCTACCAGTCGGCAAATGTCGTGATCGGGGAAGCTATAAAGTACGAGTCAAGAATCCACATAATTGACTTCCAGATCGCTCAAGGAAGCCAGTGGTTCACTCTTATCCAGGCTCTTGCGGGACGAGTGGGTGGGCCCCCTCTTATTCGCATCACTGGTGTTGATGACTCCCAGTCAGCTCATGCGCGCGGAGGGGGGCTCAGCATTGTCGGGCAGAGGCTAGCGAAGGTTGCTGAGTCATGTGGAGTGCTATTTGAGTTCCACAGTGCCGCCATGTGTGGAAGTGAGGTCGAACGAAAGGACCTCGGAGAGCGGCCTGGAGAAGCTATAGTCGTGAATTTTCCCTATGTTTTGCATCATATGCCAGATGAAAGCGTCAGTACCCATAACCACCGTGATCGGCTGCTACGATTGGTTAAGAGTCTATCCCCAAAGGTGGTCACCCTCGTGGAGCAAGAGTCTAACACCAACACGTCACCATTCTTTTATAGGTTCACAGAGACTTTGGACTATTATACAGCAATGTTCGAGTCAATTGATGTGGCGCGCCCACGGGATGACAAGCAAAGGATCAGTGCGGAGCAGCATTGCGTCGCCAGGGACATAGTCAACATGATAGCTTGTGAGGGCATGGAAAGGGTCGAAAGGCACGAACTTTTGGGGAAATGGAGGTCAAGGTTTAGGATGGCCGGATTTCAACAGTTCCCGTTGAGTCCTGCAGTTACTGAGGCTATCAGAGATCTGTTAAAGGAATATAACGAGAAGTACAGAATCGAAGAGAGGGATGGAGCTCTTTATCTCCACTGGATGAACCGAGCTATGGCAACTTCTTCTGCGTGGTGGTGAAACTTGTAGGTTTTGATGAGTGAAATCTGTAAAGTTTTGTACTAGTTGTAGTTCATGTTTAGCTTAATGATTAGCTTATATTCTACTTCTATAGGATCAAGGGAGCAATGTTTAGAACTTCCACTACACTGTCATAAAATCCCCAACTTAAATCTGGAAGGAAAAAAAGTCTTTCTAAACGTCTGCTCGGGAATGAAGCAGATAGTATATTCTTACGCTACTCTTTGAATCTCTGTTTTGCCCTTGGTGTGTTAATTTAGCTGATTCGTGGAGAACTCCGATTACATATGGTACTGGTACTATCTTTGCAAATAATAAGTTGTTAGTATTGGGTAATGGAATGTACTGGCAGCAGGGAAGGTGAATTCTTTTGTCAAAGTTCAGTTCTTGCTCAATGAAGTCTTCAGCACTAAGAAAAAGGCTGTTGTACTTGTGAAATTGACAGGAGTTGGCTATCTTTCAAGGCAAATCTCACGGTATCTGCGTTTCTACATCTGCATCACTCCAGAAGTAGCTTTAGTGAACTCAGTTTCCTGCTGATCGTTCAGTAACAAGACAAAACGTTGTAAATATAGCACGTGCAAGTTCAATTTTAAGAGGCAAAGAGCATTGCTCATGGCCAACAAAGCAACCTAAGTACAAGTTTTTCCGTTACGTTAATCTGTATACTATACAAACAGCATCATGCGCCTAAGACGACAGGAGCTATGTAAGTAATTCAAATCCAAGAGAAGACTGAGCTATGTTCAGGCTCATTTATGGCTTCTTGATGTGTGATAATCAGGACAGCAAGTAAAACCATTATCAAGGTATCTTGAATGCCAAAAAAAAGTTTCCTAGTGCTCCTCCTTCCTCACCAATACTCCCGACAAGTGCACGAACCTTCAAGAAAATGATGGAAGCGGTTACGATCCCTAACTATGATCTCCCTGTTGTAAATCTTCGAGATAAGTTTTATGACCAAATGACAATCATCACATATTCGTAAGTTCTTAACAATTCTAAGAGGAGTTCTGGGAGTTGTACTGAGAAGTCCGAAAGCAATAGCCAGCTTCTCACTATGATGAGCCAATGCAATCTCTTTCTGTCTCTCATCAAGATCTTGTGAAACTAAGGAAGTTAGCGGTTTGTACCCAGCAAGCATCAGTTTTTTGAATATCTCACTCAACATTTGGTATATCTCCTCCGTCCGTGGGTGTGACTTATCGCCGGCAACGAATTCATAAACTGCATTGTCCACTTCAATGGAACTGCTGCCAGGAGCCTTCTCAATATTTACATTCCTCATCATTTTTCTCACGTGAATAACTTTGTCCCACTTCTTTTTTTGGGTATAAATGTTTGACAAGAGAACATAATTCCCGTCTGCATGTGGTTCCAAGTCAAGAAGATTGACTCTGGCTTCTTCTGCTAGGTCAGTGTCCTTGTAGACTCTGCAACCTCCAAGAAGGGCCCTCCAAACAACAGCATCTGGTGCGAATGGCATCCTTCTAATGAGCTCCCTAGCCTCTTGAAGTCGCCCTGCACGAGCAAACATATCGACCATGCAACCAAAATGTTCAATTTTAGGAGTAATGCCGTAACCATCACTCATGCATGTGAAGTATGTCCATCCCTCATCTACAAGGCCCATGTGGCTGCATGCACTCAAAACCCCGACAAAGGCAATATCATTGGGTTTAATTCCTTCAGCTATCATTTTGGAGAAGAATTCGAGAGCGGCTTGACCAGATCCATGGTTAGCAAGCCCCATAATGGCAGAACTCCATGTGAGGACGTCCCTTCTGTCCATTCGATTAAATACACTCAATGAGCTGTCTATGTCGCCGCACTTCGCATACATGTCCACAAGTGAAGTGCCCAGCTTCATATCTACTTCAATCCTAGTTCTCTGTATGTACTCATGAATCATTTTGCCCATTCCTAGTGCACCTATGTCTCCACAGGCAGCCAATACACTGACCATTGTGACGTTGTCCGGCACCACATTTGCTAATTGCATCTCGTGAAACAGCTTCAACGCCTCATTAGACTGCCGAGTCCTCGCATAAGCTCCAATCATGGAACTCCAAGAAACTACATCTCTTTGCCTAGCATTGTCGAAAAGCTTTCTTGCCTCCACAACATCACCGAGCGTGGCGTGCCCATGAATCATGGTATTCCACGAAACCAAGTCTCTCTCAAGCATTTTATCGAACAAGTCACGTGCCAACTGAATTTCGCCAATCCTCACATACTCAGCCAACAGCGCATTGTATGAAACCAAATCCGGTTCCTTCAAATCATCTAAAATCCTCTTCGAAATCTCTACAGAACCCAGTCTCGCGTACATCTCAATCAAAGCAGTTTGAACAAACAAATCCGATTCGAACCCAATTTTCATCCCTTGAGCATGCACCGTTCGACCATTATCACCATCCATCAACCTACCACACGCCTGAACCACCAGAGAAAGACTAAAACTATCGCAAAAGACTCCGTCTTGACGGCGCATTCGGAGAAACAGAGACAAGGTTTCCTGGGGCCTCTGGGAAATCAAATTAGCGCGCATCATGGTGTTGAAAATGAACGCATCGGGGGACGAGACCGAGTCGAAAATGGAGCGAGCATAAGGCAACAGATCGCCGGGCGCAGAGGAATGCGCGAGCAGCGTCCGCAAGAGCTTGGCGACGACGTAGTTGTCGGCATCGAGACGGGTTTTCAGGACGAGGGCGTGCGCTTGTCGGAGGTGGCCGAGGCTCTTGGAATTGCGGAGGAGAGACATGGCCTTTCGCTCCATGGTTCTTGCTCTTGAACGCCGGTTTTGGGAAGACGATTTCATGGGACAGTGTCGGCGTGGGTCGATGCGTTTGGAGTTGCAGAGTCCGAGGCCGTACCTGGGGGAAGTTGGAACGAGCGCGAGGGAGGAACGATCATCAACGGCTTTTAACGGTCCCATGTTTCAGGGCTGTACTCTTTCCCGCGCTTTCGTAGGACGTTGAATATTACATGACTCGTTGATTTAGTATGTGATTAGAGATTGTAAATTGATCTTGTATTGGATAATGACACAAACGATCCATGAATTTTGGCCCGATATGTTATGTGATTTTTGAACTTTTAATTTGTTTAATGTGGTCCCCGAACTTTAATCCAATGTGCAATGCGATCCTTGAACTTTTAATTTGTTCAATATGGTCCCTCAAATTTTAGTTCGGGGACAATATTGAACATTTTTATATAGTCCGGGGATTAATTTGTATCAATTTATCTATCTATATATATAAAGGAGTACTCACAACTTCAATTATATCAAACACGAGAAAAAAGGAAGAAGAAAGGATTATCCAATTGAAATTTATGAGAGCACAACAAAGGGTGGCTCAGTTGGTAAATAATCTGAAGAGGGAAATGTTGTGTGTGTGGGAATCTTACTCAACATAATTTCTAGCAATTATGCATCACCAAATAGGGCAAATAAGTACAAATATCGCGGAGCGTCGTTCATAGGTGGCACGTGAAATGAGAAAGAAAGAGAAGGTATCTCGTAATTGTCATATCACGTGGTAATGACAAGTGGAAAAGTTGGCCAGTGCAATGTTAGAGAATTAAAATTCATAAGTAAAAGTTGATTGGGATGCATATAATATGGGTCATATAATTCGTCAATCACACCGTATCAATTGCAATCGATGCATAAAATACTTCACAGATAGAAGAGGGAGGATGGTGTTAACTTGGAAGTTAAGGTATGAACACATGTGGTTGCATGGTGGGAATCATGTTGTTTGTTGACAAGAAGAGAGACATTTGGGGCTCATGTGAAAATGAGAAGGAAGATATATGCGGTTCTTAATTTACAGCAGGATAGATCCTCAGGTCGTAATGGATCGAAACCGCCTACTTTTCGTCGTATCTCCTATTCAAAATGTGATAGCACACAAAAAAATATTAAAACTTATACGATTGACGATTGTGATTTACTCTTTTTCTGATCTAATGATTATCGAAGGGCTGGGAATTCATTTCCCAAAGTTCTTTACAAACACCCAATTATTGCATGGGAATTTCTATGCTACAGTGATGCCAAATCATTATGTCAATGTATCCATGTTTGATGAGAGATGACACAAAAGAGTACGATGTAAGAAGCATTATTTTTTTTAAGAAGCATCATTCAATGGTTGATAAAAGTGACAGAATGTTTAGGTCGCAGAACAATGAAAGCTACCATTTTTGCATATGCCAAATGAACGTTATACCACCATTATCTGAAGGAACTCATGTCCAATTTTATTATGAATTCTAAAAGATTCAATTGTCCGAAAACATACGAGGCGCACTCACGTGAAGTATCCAATAATTCTTCACGAGAAAGGAGCGAGACAGAGAGAAATGGGATGTTGACACAAGAAGAGAGGGCAAACAGAGAGAGAGAGAGAGATGGAACTATGTGTGGCAAAAGTGATGAAAAATAGTTAGAAGTCGCTGGTTGGGCAGCTAGTTGGGTCGTTCGATGATTTCTCTAGCTCAAGAATTGTAGAGTAGCTATTCGAATCTCAACGATAATTATTACAAATCGATTAAATTACTCTTAAACTTAACCCGTATGGTTGTCATAATTGGTTGAGGCATTGGCGGACTTCTTCCTGGGAACAAGAAGTTTACACTGAAACTATTAATAGCTGGATCTCCATAACCCGTGCCTTAAATTATCGCAAGAAAATTTACACTGAAACTATAAACTCTTATATGAAGACGGCAACATTGGTAGGAGGGTCTGTTCATTGAAAAGGTCTGTTGAAAGAATGATCACTTTCATACTTGCCACATGGCAAATAGAGAGGTAAAGTGAAGTGTCACGTGGTGTGACATGTGGCATAGTTTTGCCACGTGGCGCACATTGACCAATAAGCTTTTCAATTGATGGTCTGTCATTTGCTAGTTTCTATTGGATTTAAACTTTTATAAATAAATATAGAGAAATCATATGATTATTTCATCTCTTATGAACTTAAATAAATGGATAAATTAGAGGAGGCATTTTCATTTACACTCTATCATCTCCCAATTTCTATATGCTATTTATATTTAGTTCAAATACTAGGAAACGTATAAAGAGAAAATCAAAGATTTTTTTTTTCTCTCTTTTTGAGTTTAAGATTGAAAAAGGATAACTAGAAAGTAGTTTAGATTATGCTCATCACTAACATAGCTTATTTAAAACGTAATTCCTTAAATGCATTTGTAAACAACGAAAATTTTGAGCCAAATATAAAGTTATGCATAAATATTTTAGTGCTCAACAATTCTTATTGTCAAGCATTATCATACAAATGGCAAATAGGTAACTCAACAATCCCACATTTAAGAATTGGAATGCTATTAGTAACTTAAATGGCGTCATAATAAGAAATTAAGGCATCTAGACATGGCAAATAGGCCGGAATGATAACTGGGCCGAGGATCATAAACAATTATCATTTAATATCAATTTTTACTTAAAAATTATTCTAATAAATATATTAAAACCCAATACCCTTCGGCCAAGGGCCATTCGAATGTCATTCTATAAATACCTCACATCCTCACAAAGGTGTTGAAATACTCTTATTTTCAATCTTTCAAAACATATTGAACTTCAATTCACGTTTTGCTCTTCAATCTACAGAATTTCAAAAAAAAGATAAAAGCTAAAAATTTTAAAAAATAGACTACAGCATCGGGTTGTTGAAGGGGGTAGTGGCGCCCCCCTGCTTCGCCGGTGACCCTCGCCCGAGTCACGCAATGGTGGTGAGCCAACGAAGCTATGGCATCTTCACCTTGAGCCAAAATGCCGATGTCTAGTACTATTTAGCATTTTTTACATTTTAATCTCACTTAATTGAAAACTAATCAAGGTTTGACAAAAAAAGTTTTGAGAGTTGGTTTACACTTTAAATAAAAAAGGATTAATACCACGAGAAATCCCAAACCGGTACACCTGTGACAAATTTACCTCAAACTATTTTTTTGACCATAAAAAACCCTAAACTAGTACACCTATGACAATTTTATCCCGAACTAATTTTTTGATCACCAAAAACCCCAAACTGGTACACCTGTGATAATTTTACCCTGAACTAATTTTTTAACTACCAAAAACCCCAAACTGGTACATTTGTGATAAATTTACCCTCAATTAGTTTCCGTTAAATTTTACTATCAAATTGCTAAGTTTGATGGCACGCGGTAGTTGACTGGTATACCAGTTTGGGGTTTTACCTCTCTGTTTGTCAAAAGTTTACCAATTTGTGATTTTTCATGATATTAATCCAATTTAACAAAGGGTAAATTTGTCACAAGTATACTAGTTTAGGGTTTTTGGTAGTCAAAAAATTAGTTTGGGGTAAATTTATCATAGATGTACCAGTTTGGAGTTTTTGGTGGTTAAAAAATTAGTTCAAGGTAAATTTATCACAAGTGTACCAGTTTGGGGCTTTTGGTGGTAAAAAAAATAGTTCAGGGTAAATTTATCACAGGTGTACCGGTTTGGTGCTTTTGGTGGTCAAAAAATTAGTTCGGAGTAAAATTATCACACGTGTACCAGTGTAGAGTTTTTCATGGTATTAACCCAATAAAAAAAGGCCACGCCTACATTTTTTATTAGTCAAATAGGACGAAGTTTACAGAGAGACATAATTGCACTAATTTGATAAGTTTTAATATTTGATTGCACTGTTTGAAAGTTTTAGAACTCGATTACACGATCATGACATGTTTTAGAATTTTTGGCGTACTTACTTAAGGAAAAAGAAAAGAAAAGAATAGTAATGAGTTCATGACTAGAGGCCTGTATTGATTGTCGAGTGTCGTCTCTTTTCTCAAAACTCCTTCGAGCCTCTCCTTCTATTTTCTGTCAAATTTGATTAACAAGACCCAGCACAATTTCTTCGGCTTATAATCCATATGATCAAGTCTCTAAATCATGCAAAATCGCCTTAGGATAAATCTGATAAAGAGCATGTCTTGTCATATAAAGCACGCTTGGAAATCTTCTCCGTAAATCAACACCATGCATCCAAACGCACGTACATATATGCACAAAGAACAATCTCTACTCAAGTTCAGCAAACAATATCGATTTATATCTTCCTATTCATAATGTGTGTGTAATACTTATGATGATTCGTGCAACAATCCCATCTTGCATATGAGATTGGGGCACAGGGAAGACTACTCAACACCCACATGCTGGCAACTTAACAGTTTGAGAGCATTACAATGTCCCATAACCATCTTTTAAACTAATTAATCCGAGACCATTCACCTTGTTAAAGTATAATCTGTTCTAACCTTTCTTATCATCCGTTTCCACCTGGTAGGATTAGGGCTCGCATTAACTATAATATCCTAGTTTATCCCTTTAGAATGGGAGCCATTTTCACTGTAGAAAGCAGATATGGACATAATACAAATCAAATGCACGCCTTGTCTCTTACTCCTCACAACTCACAACTCTCTCTCTCTCTCTCTCTCTCTCTCTCTCTCTCTCTCTCTCTCTCTCTCTCTCTCGCAAGAGCCTCGAAGTTTTCGAAAGCCTTTCTTGATTATAGTAAGTTTGAGAGGAGAGAGAGAGGGAGAGAGGGGCGCTTGTGCTGCACAAAAGAAGCATCCATTAAGCATTTGCAGCTTTCGCTTTGTGCATGCCATTCCAATCCAAGGACTCCAAGACAAAAAGAAATTGGTGCGAGAGAAGAAGAGAAAGAATGTTGGTACCTTTTCTTTTGTCATTGCATTATTGTTCAATCAAAGGCACTCTCCTCCACAAAAAGCAACACTCCCTAAGATTATTCTCTCCCTCTCTCTCTTCTAAGAAACCCTTGTCCTTTTCAACCCCTACACGCTCCCCCCAGCACCACTTCTCTCCTACTTCCTCTTTTCTCCAACAAGAGAAAGAAAAATCTAAAACCTAGAAGAGAGAGAGAGAGAGAGCTTTTTAAGGGTATTTCCATATATAATCATTTTGGTAAAAAAATTACCAAGAATATTCATTGGTGATTGAGTTTCAAAAGCACTTAAAATATTTTGTTGGGAGATCAACAATTAATAGACTTTTTGAAATTCATATCGGACCGACCAATTTAACTAGAGTATTTGTCGAGTTTCTTAAACGGTTTTCATTCGGCCAATATTTTCCCGTCCAATCTATTTTGGCTGATTCAACTCAATTTAACTACGTCCAGCTATCCGATATGATTTTAAGTACAATATTGAAAACACCGCGTTTGAACGACCTTTGAAAGTCTATCTTATCAAAACCAAACACCACCGAGAAAAGGAAAGAAGGGTGGCTCCATCTCCTAAGCTTATGTGAGAAAGTGGTTTTTGTGGGGGACAAGAGGACAGAGCATCACCCAACCTTTTGTTCTTCCAAACACACCCTTCCATGTGCTAGTCTCTTTCAATTCCTTTGGACTCTTCTCTTCACACTCTTCCTCTTTAGCCTCCCACTTTTGCCACTCCATCCACATACAGTTCCACACTAAAGAAGCCCCCCTCATTAGATTGACCACTTGACCTTTTCTGTTTGGACCTTCCAACCTTGCAGCCGATTCTCATTTCCCTCTTTTTAAAAAAGAATCACTAAAGAATTTTCTTGGAGTACTAAATATTCATAGAATAGTTCTAAACAACATAAAGTTATTTCCATTGCTCACATGCTCTATATATATGTTGTATGCATTAGAACTACACACGTTACGTGAATCCATTCAATCCAAGAACCCTCAAGAGCCCAACTCATATAGGCAACCATCCATCAACCCCAGTTTTCAAGCAAAAAATGGGTGTTGGAGAGAGCCCCATCGTGATCCAATCCTCCATTGCTCTTCTGCAAGAGAGATTCAGGCAATTGCAAAAGGTGAAGGAGATGAGAGAGGAGAGACAGATCTTGAAGTTGCTCACAGAACCTAATAACAAGGTTTTGAGCCCCACAGCATCACCACCACCATCACATTGTGAGCCATTAGGGTTTTTCTTCCATCATCCCGAAGTGATGGTGAATAATATTTATCCTACTTGTTCATCCCCTCCTCAACTCTCTCTTTCCCTCTGGCCAAGCCCACAGAGCAATTACTCGCATCTTCGGTGTGTTGAAGCGCCGGCGCTCGTCGCAAGTCTGTGGCCTGTGGAGACCACCTCTTTGCGCGTTTCGTCGACAAAGTATAGGGATTATGATCACTTTGACGATGTCGACACGTCTCTTCATCTGTAAAATAAGAGCACGTTATATACTTTCTTTTAGGTTATATGCTTTATCGGATGAGCTTATTATTTGTACCTACTCAGTATGAGCGGAGTTGAGTTTTGCCTGGGTTAATGCGTGGTGCATCGCATGGAAGAATTCCAAACTTTAAGTAGGAAAATATGTTTTTTTTTGTAGTAATAGTATGAACTCTTCGTGTGTTAGATCATCACATGAACATGAATCTTCTCTTATCGAGTCATTTCAAGATTCTAGATATTGCATGAAAAAGCAATACTAGTTTGGAGGAGGCTTGTGATACTACTGTATATCGTACGTGTGGAAGACAAAAGACGGCGTTTCAACATTTGTGCGATTTGGAAATCATGTAAAAGTGAGTGGTTTTACATTCACAAACCCGAAACTCCTAACCACCTTTTTTTTTATAACAATGATCAACAAGCTTGCATAATCAACTTCAACTTATGAACCAGATCCTATTTTCTTTAAATTCTCAGTGACTAGTTGTAAACTTCAATATCAAGATCCAATGCAATTCATCGAAAGATGAACAAGAGCGGGAAAAAAGGCCTACCAACCAAAGTTAAGGGGGCAAGTTTGGAATCTGAGCATAGTTTGTTTTTAAATGAATGATCATATCCATGAAGCATGCATAGTTTCATAGTAAGACCATTTTTCTTACAGACAAGACATGAATCCTCTGAATTTAAAAGTAGGTATACATTGACTTGCTTGTTTTCGGGAGATTATCATGACATGTCGCCTATAAAGCAATGGCGTGAATGAGATACACTACTTTTACAGGTGATACAACATGTCCCTTTTGGATTGACACTCGCGGTCTCCGAAGATGGGCCAGCAGACAAACCCAAAATATATTGTTTCAAATCAGTTCACTCAATGATTCAATCAACAAAATTCCTTAGTCCGTTAAGGTAGCTGTCTGGGGTGCTAAGTGCATATTATATGACTTGTACTTGCAGTCCTTTTAAGGTCATTTGTCTAAGTCCAAGATGTAATTATTGTGGTCTGTGTTTTTTCACTCTGATGGTTAATAAAACTTGACAGCAATCAGCCCGTGAAAGATAAAAAGCTCGAGCACAAAACACCCTTCTCTTTTTGGCTTGTTTTTCATTTTATGTCATCATGAAGTGCTAATTTAAACACCTCCAAAGTGATTATAACAACCGGTTTATGCTAGATGGAAAATGTGACAGTCATAGATTAACTCACTTAAATGAATTGTTCGTTTTGACCCGTCTCACATCAAATCTCATGTTTTGTCCTTTAGCATACATGGAGGCATTTTCCTAGGAGGTTATCCATTCGTTAGTGCTTTTACGTGGGTATGTTTGATATTAGAGTTGAAATGCTAAATGTTGTCATTACGTCAAAATATGCCTCTTATGAGTTAATTTCACTTTCCCATATATAATCCAAAAACGTCGTCTCCTTGTTCGGTATGCAATAGTTAGTTGCCGCCCCTTTTGCCATTGTAGAGGCTTGTCGGGAGCCGCTCCTCATTCGGTCTTCTAGCACCGAGGATCACTCCCCACCCTTGTTGGACATGATCATTACTGAAAATGTCATAAGCAAAGTAGTTTTGAACATCACACCAAACTAAACAAAGTCAATAAGTTTGCACGAGAGTCTAATGACTTGATGAACCCTTGTTGCACACAAGAATTTTGGGCCAGACTTTGTGGCCTATATGTGGACCAAAGCTTAGGCCTCTACGATAAATGAACCCAATGAATTTGTTGTTGTGGTCAAAATCCAGTTGTCTTGTCCAGTTCAAATCATCTACAGATGGCAGTCAAAAGTCGTTGTTTTTTTTTTTGGTCAAAGGCAAAAGTCGCTAAATTGTCGATAAACTCAAGATGTAATTCCTATTACTTCCTTAACTATGATGTTTTTAATCAAGTTACTATTTAAATGACGAGAATGATGATTGAAATCAGACAATGAACATAGACAAATTAGCATAATTTTTTAACTCAATATCGAGTCCCGACTCGATAAGTGATTCTTCATGTTCGAGCTCAATTTGATTGAACTCAATTACTAAAAAACTAGTTGAATTTCTTCAGCTTCTTGATAACATATAATTAAAGGAACGACATCTTTTTGTTTTTTCTAAACATTTGTTTGATAATAGTCGACTTTCGATGGGGCCACAACTCAACCTTCCTCACGCGAATTCCTCGTTTGACCAACTTGTGACTCTGCACACTCTGCTCACCACAAGAAAGAAAGTCCCTAGGAGGTCAAGTCTTGGGACGTCCAATATTCAAGTCAGTTTGAGCTTTAGAGAAATAAAATTGACAAAGTAATGACTAATGCATATTCAATGTCTCTTACCTTGAATGGTTGATTCTGGGCTATTTATACTTACTTTGATAGCTTGGTGTTCCTCAATTTTCGGAATTGTGAAGCCATCCAGCGATCTGTCCAGTTGTCCCGTAGGTTGATTCGAACTTCTCTCATGGAAGTCGATACATATAAGTCTGCAGTTTATTGCAAAGCTCTTTATTCCTTATAGATTGAGTGATGGATTAATTTGGAGATTATCTCAAGCAACAACAAGGTCAAAATGTGGAACAAAGTACAAAAGCAGCCTTCGAATTCTTGTCGTGATGACTAAGGAATGAATACTTGCATGAACAGTTCTAGCTTTTTGTAAAGGTTGAGGATATCTCTTCTTTCCCTTTTCTGTGTCTCATATTGCTGAGACGAGACGCGAATGTTTGCCCAGTTCTGTGGTGAAGGCAGCTAGAGACGCTCGGACACAAAATGCCGGTGCTCGGATTTGTGCTCGCTCTTCTCCTTCTCGGCTCGGCTCCCAGAAAATCTGTTCAGACCGTGACTCGAGCAGGTAACAACTTTACTTAAAGGAATTTAAACACCGACACGACACGATGCTAGTTAACTGTTCACTAGACACACGAGTCCGACACAATTCAACTCGTTTTTGACGGGTACGGTTACGAAACACGAATCATCACCGGTTTAGTGGCTGTAGTCCAGATGGGGAAGAGTTCGTGGAGTGGTGCATAGCTGATGAGCAAGCCTCAAGCGAGGAGCTTCAAGTGGCGCTGGACTGGGCGTGCGGGAAGGGCGGAGCAGATTGCAGAGGAATCCAACGCCACCAGCCATGTTTCCTGCCCAACACAGTCAAAGACCATGCTTCCTTCGCTTTCAATAGCTACTACCAAAAGTTCAAGCACAAAGGGGCCACCTGCTACTTCAATTCTGCTGCAATGATCACTGATCTTGACCCCAGTAAGTGCAGTGCTTATTTTTGGATTATCATTGAGAATATCGCAATGATGCAGATCCTGAATTTTATTTCGATTTCTGGTGACAGGTCATGGATCGTGCAAATTTCCATATCTTCCTTGAATGAGCGTCCAGAAGAACTTCGGTCACAAGAATTCCAGAGTGGAGGAGGCGACTTGAAGCACTTGTAGTTTTTTTTTTTTTTTGGGTCGTAAAGATGCACTTGTAGTTATACGCTTGTGTTTTCTGCACTTTTTTGGTTTTTTTTTTTTCTCTTAGTCGTGTTCAAGGAAAATCTTTTTGGCTAGACGGACCAACCTTGGTAAAACGTTGGTATGAGATGGGTTTCTATACACGATTTGTTTTGTTTGTAATTCAGTGTGTTGTCTAAGACAGCTTCTCATTAACGATTAGTAAACACTAATTTCCCAGAAAATTGAAGTGTAACCCGTCAAATGGATGAGTCGAGTTGAAAATGGTTCAATCCAAATTTGAGTCGTTTTGACCCATTTTCATACAATACAAATCTAGTCTCCTATACCCGACTCGTTCTATACTCAACATACACCCGACACGACGCATATTTCTAAAACACTTTTGTATTTAACCAAATCTAGGAAAATTCACACCTAAAAACTGAGGTAAGAGCGCGGAATGAGCAAACAAGGGATTGAGTGAGGGCAAAAGAGAGTTATAAAGGTGAGTTGGATCTAAGTAAGTTGTGAACCCATTTAATACCCATATTACTTTAAACTTTATCATTCTAAAGCCATTGCGACTCATTTACTTATAACTAACTTATATAACAAATAGTCCATTAAGGTAAGAATTGGATCTATGATCAATTTTGATAGGTCTACTGAAGTGTACTCTAAGACTTTTGATTTTAACTTTGACTTATATCTTTTTTTTTGGCATTCGATGTTTAGGATTGGATTTTTTTATTTAATTTTAAGACCTCAAATTATAAAAAAAAATTATCAAATTAAAAGGTTTAGGACTGAATAGCATAAGTGTAATAAGGTAAGAACTTTTTCGGTTCGCGACTTGAAGTCAAGCTAGAGATGGAAGCTAGACTTGACCCATAATTCATGCATGAAAATCCCAAATGGCGATGGACGCAATGCTGGCGCAGTGCTCACATATGCATTGTGTGAAGTAAATTAGAAGAGAAGTGCTCGACAATAATGACTGACCATGCCTCTTCGCGTGAAAAACTATCTCCGTTGCACTCAATCGATCCCCCTCCCACCCCCAAAAAAAATCGATCACTCGGCCCCTCATCATCGTCATCTCCAACTCAGTCCCAACACACGACACGCTTCCCAACGTCGTTCCTGATTCTAGGATTTACACAGACGTACAGACAGACCCTGTTCTGTCCCATCATTACATAGGATCTTTATACACTGTCTCGCCCTCTTTTGGGCTTCGAATTCAATGCGCATCGATGCGGAGAACGCGGCTGGCATGAATTGCCATGGACCCGTCTTACACGTGGAGGAGGGTATGGTGCGAAAGCTCCATGCCTTCTTCGGACACAACAACACGACCGTGGCTTCAGATTTCAGACCAAGTTGGATCGTGGGATCGATCTTTGGCTAACGTGGTTGCACGACCGGGAACCATACCTACTCCCTCCTGGTCCACCACCCAAAAAAACCCACAAAATGAAAAGGAATTTGGTGAAAGTGCTTTGATCTCCACTTTCCAGCGCACTCTTGATTGTGTTGGGTAGTGGACTTCGCCAATTTTCAGTATAGCGAAACCCTTCTCGTGTTGATTACAGGTTATTGCTAATATAAGTAAAATGATGAGGTCAGTTGTTGCGAAAATAAGCGGTTGAACAAATAGACCGAACAAGGAAATATATCGGACATCAAATTTACGCGGTTCAGTTGAGGTGACACACGCCCGTTGGAAAAGTATTAAAAAATTCCGCAATAAGTTAAGCGATATGACGAAGATTATAACCCATTCGAGACATTTGAACACTCTTAGTATTTCTCAATCTCCAGATACACCTAATTATTCACACAGTATTTAACCCCACAATTCCTTACGAAATAATCTCTCGATCTCACGAAATAATTAAAAAATCTAACCACAAGATTTTCTATTGGCTATAAAGCACTCGTGAAACTTCCTAAAATGCAATTAACGCTCGATCTCACAAAGAAATTAACAAATCTTATCACAAGATTTTCTATTGGCTATAAAGCAGTGGTGGATCTTCTCGGGATGCAATTAGCGAAGCTCTAATGCCACGCAATTCACGAAGAAGTTTACCCTGCACATCAACTTCGCATAAATCCAACCAAAAAAAAATTCGCATAAAGACAAAACCTTCAAGGTAAGTCCAAGACTAAGGCTCCGTTCGTTTGGCGGAAAATATTCTCTCGGAAAATATATTCCGGGTTTTTCGGTGTTCGGAGGGCGGAAAACGTTTTTGTGGGAAAATATTTTCTTTCCCCCCTCACAAAATAGCTTAGTCTACGAAAAATGACTTCCGCTTCTTCAAAAGCGGAAATCATTTTCCGGAGCTTCTTCTTCTTCTTCTTCTTCACTAAGGTCGTGGCCGCGCCGCCGCCGCCGCCGCCGGTCGCTTGCGTGGCCGCCATTCCTTAGCCGCGCCGGTCACGGCCGCATCGCCGGCCTTCGCCACGGGCCGCCTTGTCGCCGTCGCCTGCCTTGCCGTTGGCCGTTGGTCATCGGCTGACGCCGGACGGGCCGAACGTTTGCCGTCGATTCTTGGCCGCAGCCGCCGGACGCCGCCGCCTCCGCCACGGCCGGCCGGCGAAAAATATTTTCCCGAACTTTTTCATATTGGTCGTAGAACACTAGGAAAATTATGTTCCGGAAAAATATTTTCCAGGAAAATGACTTCCGGGAAAATATTTTCCAAAAGGAGAATATTTTCCGCCAAACGAACGGAGACTAAGATAGGAAACAAAGTCCAAATTTGGGACTTTCCCTTTTTTTTTCCTTTTATTCCTCGCCGACTCCAACAGAGGAAATAATTTTGTTCTTGATCGCGACTTCAACACGAATGCAATTAACCCTATTATGTAAAATCCGATTCTGAACTTTGATATGCCGAGCTAATTTATAATTCAATTTGGATCGAGTTTATTCAACAGGCTCAAACTCGATATATAATTTTAACAAGAATAAACTCTTATCAATGTTTCCTCCCGATATGGATTTTCAGAATGATGCGTTTGCTTTGGTTTTACTTCGAGCCAAAAGCAAACTATCTTACATAACGGTTATATCACGGGTCGCAAGACAATATTCATTAACGTCTTAACGCGAAAAACCAAGTTGCTTATTGACTGCAACACACGATATTCTCATCAAATAATAGTTGTTTCTCCATAATGTGGACATAAAATATAAAATTTCTAGCAAAAGAGAGGAAAGGAGGCATCAGCATGGAATGCTCCATTGAATGTGAATTCAAGGCATCCCTTACCTCTTATCACGCTCTCGTTCTCGGGACCCCAAACCATTTACCACTGTTTGCCTCTTCCTAGAAAAAGAGAAAGGGTCGCCACTTTCACCCTCTCAGGCTTCAGCTCAAGCCCTCCTCCACTTTCATGTCGTTCCTTAAAATGCAAGGCATAATGACACGATCAATTCTTGATTTTTGGCTCGATGTGTAATGTGATCCATGAATTTTTAGTTTGTTCAATATAATTCCTGAACTTTAACATAATATGTAATATGGTCCCTAAGCTTTTAATTTGTTCAACGTGGTCTTCGAATTTTTGGTATATATTCAATATAGTCCCTGAACTATATGAAAAATATTCAATATAGCCTCAAAATTGAATATATATTAAAAGTTCAGAAATGATATTAAATAAATTAAAAATTCATGAATCACATTATACATTATACCGAAATTCAAAAATTATTTTTGTCATTTTTTTTATATGTAATTATGTCTCTTATGGGAATCACGATTAGATGCGCTCAAATGCGATGTGTCACGATAATGATGGATTCATATCCGGGTTTCCCTTAGTTAATGCCCCTCTCGGAGTGCAAGTCATGCTATCGCAGAAACCCTTTTCCCACGACGTGGTCACGTGGCAGGCGTCTCCTGTCTCTCCTTGCACCAAGCACTTGTGGATTCCCAAAAAGCAGAACAGCTTTGCAGAGGGAGATTTATTGCCAAACGTTTTCGTGAGTTGGTGGGGCTTGTGCGTGCTTCTGTGTGCTTCTGTGTGCCGCCTATAAGTAGCTCCCGCTTTTGCAGTGGTGGGTCACTGTCCGTACACTTCACGGTGAGCGACTGAGGTGGGTTTTTTAAGAGAGCTTGGCTATCTTTGTTGTTCTTGTGCTTCAACTTTTCGGAGGCCAGAAACACGCAGGAATGAGCTATCTGGGTGTTGGGGTGAGCCCTGGGAATGTCCCGGTGTACCACGGGACGAGCCTAAAGGTGATCGATCGGAGGGTGAGGCTTGTTGAGCTGGTTCTGAGGTTTGTGATCTGTGGCTTGGGCGTGCTCGCAGCTGTTCTTGTGGGCACTGACACTCAGGTCAGGGAGATCTTCACCATCCAGAAGAAGGCCAAGTTCACTGACATGAAGGCTCTCGTGTAAGACCAGACCCCATGACCCATCATCATCATCATCTGTTTCTTTCTTGGGTTCATTCTTGTTCTTGCTCCTTTTGATGAACCAAAGTCTTGATCTTCATTTTCGGAGAAAAAACGTGATCTTGTTCTTGCCCATTTTCTGGGTTTTTTTTTTCTTTTCTTTTGAACAGTTTCTTGGTGATAGCAAACGGGATGGCTGCTTCATACTCGATGATCCAAGCCCTGAGGTGTGTTGTGAGCATGGTCAGAGGGAGTGTGCTCTTCAGCAAGCCCTTAGCTTGGGCCATCTTCTCTGGTGATCAGGTATACCAACCCGGGATAAAAACCAGCTAGACCTTTATTTAAAAGTGGAATTTCTTTTCGTAGCGTTGAAATTCTAGTACTATATGTCTTCAAATCTTGGTGTTGCTACTCTGTTTCTGTCATTGAATGTGGATGGGATCGGTTGGTGAGGCTTGAGCATCATGCGAGTGAGTTTAATGATTCATTTAAGAGGCTTCGGTTTGCATGTTTGCCGTCTGGTTGACGATCCCCAAAAGCAATCTCAGAAACCGAGACATTGAGGTGTGGTTAGATAGGCTGAACCAGAGAGATGTGATGGGAAAATGTGTGTGTGGCCTAGACCATAACGTGTGTACGGTCGTCCAGTTCAATTTTCGGCTAGACCCACCACCAATTTGGTTTTGGACGAGTCAAATTGTATCCATTGTCATGGACAGAAGACTGATGCATGCGGTTCTCCCTAGACCTGATCAATGGACGGACTTTGGGTGGGCCGGGTTGTATACCGAGCCTAAACGTCCTTGCGCAGGCCTTCCCATGGATTTCCTGGCCCGGGCGAGTTAAGGCGGGCCTATGTGAATGTGGGTGCTCATTTGTGCTATAGTTTTAGTCAAATCTCCCATTCTTGAACGATGTAATCCATTAGTATCAGCATGTCCATACTAACAGAGCTACAGGAATCATCAGACTTTGCCGTGGCTACTGTGCAGGTCATGGCTTATGTGACCTTGGCCGCGGTGGCAGCGGCAGCTCAATCGGCCGTGATCGCCAAGCTGGGACAACCGGAGCTGCAGTGGATGAAGCTATGCGGGATGTACGAGAAGTTCTGCAACCAGGTCGGGGAGGGCATCGTGAGCGCGCTGCTCGTGAGCATCAGCATGGTGGCGCTGTCCGTGATCTCGGCCTTCAGCCTTTTCCGTCTGTACAATGGAAGCAGCAACAAAGGGTAAAGAACAATTCAGGGTAGTGAAATTGTTCTTCTTTCTTTTGGCCTTTTTTCTAGTGATGCCTCACGTACTCAGTCGTTACCATCTGATAATGAAAACCTGGTGGGCAATGTTGATGAAGATTTAAGACCTAATGCAGGGTCACTTAGTTTGATCTGGAGATGACAAACGTTTGCTATTTGCTCTAATCTTTGAGATTTATCACTCGGATTCGATGAATACGATGCATAGGAGGAGTGAGACGACGGTTCATTCAGACCAAAAGATCCGAATTAGTCTACGGATCCGTTTCGGATCGCATCGATTCATCGGAAGAATTTGCTTAAAGAGACCCGTAAAGCGATTTCCTCGAACGTGAGTTTTGTAAATGGTATCTTAAACTCGTCCCATTTAGGCTGTCGAACATTCGTCGGATTCAAAGGAGATATTGTTATTCCAGGTGTATTAGAATATGTAACCACCCTGAATTACAATCATGAAAATCGGAGAAAAAAGTTATGGATACTATTGAAGAGTGAAGATGGGTATTGGCGATTTCCATCTATTAATGCACGAATTCCTGTGAGCAAACTTATTAAATGGGTGGGTCGGGACGAAAATGTATAGCCTATATTGATCAATTTCCACGTAATACAAATCTAGTGATATATACCCGATCCGATTCATATTGCTATAACGCTTTCATATTTAACTCAATTTTAAAAAAAAATCATACATAAAACTGCGGTGAGAGTGCCGAGAGAGTAATAGAGATCAACTGATTGTAACTTCTAATAATATACATATATATATACATTCGCTTTACATCACATCTTTCGTCTACGAACACTGTTTCATCCTCTACACGTTATTTTGCACGAAGAAAATTCTAAAAAAAAATCCTATAACAACCTATTCCCTCTCCCCTCTTGGTTATTAAGCTCAAATCCATTTCGTAAAAGTGGGTGAGCCCCTTGATTTGGGCCATCCGGGGCCCAATCAGACCTACGGGCCTAGATCGGCCCAATATGCCGCGGGCCCACTACCCGCTACGGGACAAGGGAGTAGGGCGCGAAACCCGCGGAGCGACTGATGGCGCGTGGCCGGCACGTGGCCAGCACGTGAACCTCTTTGACCCGTCTATATCAAAACATTCACGTATTTGAGGAAACCTGCTAATTAATTTTTCCTATTCATTATTTTTTCCCCACCATTAATTATTAATTAAAATTAAAATAGGGGCATCTCAAAAATCGATAAATATTAGGGGTGAGCGATTCTCGATCCGGTTTGGTCCAATTCAAGAATCGGGAATCGGACTGGTTCTCGATTGCTAAGATCAGGGACCGGACCGGCTAGTCTTGGGACCATGGATCGGTTCCAACGTGATTAATCACTTATTGATAAAGGCAAGAGGGAATTGGGGAAATTGGATTAGGCTTTTTATTTTTTTCAAAAATTTTAAAAAGTAAATAAATATATATATGAAAAAATTAAAAATATATATTTATCGATCCGGTTCCTACCCTAGAACCGGGAATCGCCCGGAAATCGATTCCATTTTTAGGAACCGGGAATCGGATCAATATTCCCGAGAACAGGACCAAACTGGTCGGTCCGGTCCGGTCCTATCTTGCTCACCCCTAATAAATACCAGCCGCTAATAAATTCACCAAAAAAAATAATAAACAACGAAATAAAATAAAATAAAATAAAAAAACTAAATGGAATTCTCAAATACCGCAAACTCGCACGATTTCGCCACCTGCGCGGTCGATCTTCGTCTCCTTCCCGATTAGCGCCACCGCCACTCGCACCTCCTCGTCTCCGTAGTCCCGCCGCCGCCGCCGCCTTCGCCGCCGCCGCTCGGCCTCCAGAAACCCTAATCCCTCGCCGCTCCCCTCGCGGTATCATTCGCCGGAGGAGGAGTCGCGGGGGGTCGCGTGGACATCTTGCGGTTCCGGGGGGAAGAGGATGTCGGAGAAGTTCTCGGCCACTCTCCGGATTGGAGACCTCAACGACTTCATTGCGCCGTCGCAAGCTTGCATCGTCTCCGTCAAGGGCCTCAAGGCGGCTACGTCGGCGAAGAGCGACAAGCCGGAGGTGAGGATTCCGCCGAGGTTTTCTCTTTCACTTCGGTTTGTGCTGCTGCCGGTCGTTGACTCGATTCGGAACTCGTTTAGCTAAGCGGCTGTGTTGTGGGGGGGAATAGTTTGGAAACACTGGCGATACTTGATCTGTTCGTTTTGTGTTTTGGATCGGGATGCGTTGGTTTGGTTTGTGTTGTGGAGCTGAATTTTGAGGTTTGCTGATTGCGGGTTTGCAGGCTAAGATCCTTGATTCTCCTTCCCCTCTTCCCGACTAATGAATGCGATTGATTTTGTTCCTACTTGTTGTTGGTGAAGGTAGCAATTGCCAGAAGACCAGTGAAGACAGAGCCGGTCAAGATTTCGCTCAAGGACTGCTTGGCATGCAGGTGAATTTTCTCTTTTTAATCTTTCAGCTTTGTTCTGGGACATGATGTTAGTTGCTGCCTTTTGTGAAGAATTTGGTGGTTGTTGTTGTCTGAAAAGAAAGCAAATAGAATTCTCGTCAGTCTCGTATTGATTCCGTAAATTCTCGTTGTATATTATCTGCTGGCGACCGTGCAGTGGGTGCATTACATCAGCAGAGACTGTTATGCTCGAGAAGCAAAGCTTGGATGAGTTTCTCTCTAACATTGATAAGGGGAAGGCTGTCGTAATCTCTGTCTCTCCGCAATCAAGAGCTTCTCTTGCAGCTCATTTTGGCTTATCTCCTCTTCAGGTGATTCTACGATATACATAAGTACGTTTCTATTTCATGATCCAATAGAAATGCTTTTTACTGGGTTTTAGATGAATGGGGTCTCCACTTTGACCATGAAGCAGGGAAATGGTTTACTCTTTTCTTTGTCTGTTTATCTGTGTATCACTCTGTTCCAGCTTCAAGATATTTCGGTGTGCTGTATTTCCCCTTCGAAAAGATCATCATGAATCGTCATTGCTCATAAATCTGTAGTACCTAGTTATACTGATGTGTGAGATTCTTCCATTCGTACTCTGAGTTTCTTCCCCCTCCTTTTCAGGTTTTAAGGAAACTCGTGACTTTTTTTAAGTCTATTGGAGTAAAGGCTCTGTTTGATACAAGTTGCAGTAGAGATATAACCCTCATCGAGTCTTGTAATGAGTTTGTGATGCGGTACAAACAAAAAAAATCGAAGGGAGATAATTCTCTGCCCATGCTTGCTTCAGCATGCCCGGGTATGTGTTCCGATTGATTCTGTGAAATAATGTGTTTAGGAACATTAGAGCAGGCCGGTAGTCTATCTGCGTGCCCTCAAAAAACTGAGAGTGAATGGAGAGGAGTGATGGTTCGGGGAATTCTAAAGGAATGGAAAACTGCTCTAACCAGACTGTCGGACTCTTTCCATTGATGTAATGTCTCTCTCTATCTGCGCAGGTTGGATTTGCTATGCTGAAAAAACACTAGGGTCCTATATTTTGCCTTACATCTCAACCGTGAAAAGCCCTCAGCAAACTATGGGAGCTGCTCTTAAGCATCATGTATGCCAGATAATGGGCCTCAGGTAGACAGTCAGCTATATTTTTTCTTTTTCCCTACGTTGCCCTTTTCAATATTTTAAAAGTTAGTTTGAACAGTTTTTCAAGGCAAGCAACTTTAGTTTGGTCCTACAGGGAATGCATGTTAGCCTGGTCAAGCTTTCGTTGCACCCCGCCCCCCACCCAATCCCCCAATCCCAACAAAATAAAAAAACATGGTTTGTTTTGTACAAAACATACATTACAAGGTTGTTGCAAGAATCATTTATTTTGATAGTCAGGTAGACCGGTTTATCTTTTATGGTGCCGGTCCTAATTCGAGTAGATAGGATTATGGTCAAGCCATGTAGACTGGTTGGTCCTTTTACTTGGTCAATTATGGACTTAGTCGGCTAGTTGGTCAGCATGTTCAACCCATTTTCATGGCGAGAAGAGAACATGAGGATTTCACATGACAGTCCTGTCAAAGCTAAAGCTTTTCTCATGTCCTGTAAAATTTTCAAACTAACTCCTGCGATTGTGCTTATCTTCTGTCACAGGGTGGATGAAGTCTATCATGTAAGTGTCATGCCCTGTTATGACAAGAAGCTGGAGGCCGTTCGGGATGACTTTGTTTTCCAGTTGGACTCTCCTAATGACGCACAACTGGATGAAGTTCGACTTGCGGAAGTTGATTCAGTTTTGACATCTGGAGAAGTTTTAGATTTGATAAAGCTGAAAGCCGTGGATTTCGGATCTTTAGAGGAGTCGCCTCTAGACAAAATGTAAGGGCACACTGAACTGTCTATACATTTCAGTCTCCATTAGCCAAGGCTTTATTACATCCGATCTTTTTGTGCAGGATGACAAATGTCGATGAAGATGGACATCTTTATGGTGTCCTGGGAAGCTCTGGAGGATACGCAGAAACCATCTTCCGATATGCGGCTAAAGAACTATTTGGAAGAGACATCGATGGTCCCCTGGATTTTAAAATCATAAGGAATTCAGATTTTCAGGAAGTCAGTTTGGAAGTAAGTGCGCTTTATCTCCTCTAGCATCGTTAGGAAATTAACGCATATGTAGAAGTTTTGTACTGACTCTAATATGAGACTTCTGTAGATGCTGGAATAAGATCTGTCAGTTGCGTTTGATGCCCACTGGTTGAGCACTGATAATGTTCAGCGCTTTTGCTAAACTTGTTCTGGCTTTTCAATGATCTGTCTTGGTACTGCAGCTTATGCTTTTCTATGTTTCTTTGATATCACCTTGTAAAATATAAAAGTAGAATATGTTGCGAGTATTTGAGTCACATTTTGTATTTCCTGGTAATGATTGTTTCTGGATTGCACTGCCTCCCCAAGTAGGACTTCCAAATTACTGGTGTGTAGTTCCACCTGTAAAGATACTGTAGTCTTTGCACTTTCTGAATCTTTCTCATGTCATGACATTTGCTGCAAGCAGGTGGATGGCAAAACGGCGCTGAAATTTGCATTATGTTATGGTTTCCGGAACCTGCAGAATATCGTGAGGAAAGTTAAAATTAACAAGTGTGATTATGACTTTGTGGAGGTCATGGCATGCCCTTCAGGTACGGCATTTTTGTAGGTTATGCCATTCATTCACATATGACACATTGTCTTGTTGGACAATAGTGGAACAATGATTTTGAGATTGGGGCCGCTTTCTGTTGATACGTGTAGAAGCTCATTTTTTTGTTGTATATTAAGGTGGATACTTGTTCTGAGTGTGTAAAGAATATTTTTATTGATAGGATGCTTAAATGGTGGAGGTCAAATTAAGCCAGAACCAGGACAATCTGCGAAGGACTCGATTCAGAGATTGGAAACTGTTTACATGGATCAGGTATGCTGTTTGTCACATAATTTTCTTTTTTCCACAAGGACTTGTTTGTAGGGTACTACTTCCAAAGTAGATTCTCTCTACAAGCACCCAATTCCTACAGCAATTATGGAAGTGATACATCATCCGACACACCTTGGTGAATTGTGGAATTTTAAAGAGCTTCTCTTATTTAATGATTGATTTTTCTCAAAATGTTTAATCAATACGTTTGTCTATGCGGAAGGAAAGATGACAAATAAGCACCAGTAACCCATCCACACCACTTTTCTACATTAGAACTTATCTTCCGAGTATGGAACCCATCCCGCATTACTAACGCTTTGCTTGGGAGATGGAGAGAGAAGAAAAAATTTACAGTTTCCCTCCAATCCTTCGAAAAAAAGAAAATCAAACGTTTCTCAAATTTTTTGTACCCCTCTCATTTTCCCCCCCTCTCTGGAAGCGTAAGGCTCTTTCCTACTGTATAGTATATTTCAGTAAAGTATTAACCGTGGGTCTATGTTGTAATTTTGGTTCGATACTTGTTGCTTTCTAGAACTCCTTGTGTCCCCATTGGCCTTTTTGGTGAAGTCCTTTATGGATCTCCAGTAATGGTTGTTAATACTTTGTATAGAAAGTAGATATTTGGCTTGTATTTATTATGTGATGCACATTCCCATTTGCTCTAACGGCATCTAGAAATGCTAGTCTCTCCCGTAGGAACGTTGTTTAAGAAAAAATTGTCTTTCTTTTTATAGACGACGATTTGCAAGTGTGTGTATAAATGTATCGAAGTTGCATCTTTTCCTGTTCATGCTTGGATCTGAGTATGACCTGTTCCTATCTCACACCCATTTGTCAATTTTGCACAGGTTTCTGTTGCTGATCCTTTTGGTAACCCCTTGGTCAGAAAGTTGTATGATGAATGGCTTGAGCAGCCTGGTTCAAAGAAAGCAAAGAAGTATATGCATACAGAGTACCATCCGGTGGTAAAAAGTGTTTCTTCAGAGTTACATAACTGGTAAAACATATAGCATAGGGACAAGGGCTGGCTGCTCTCTTCAGTCTATGGCCCGTATCCCCTCGGATATACTCTTCTTATATCTTACAGTTCGTGACACATGATAACTTAAGCCATGAGATCATCAGTCGTTCGTTGGGATGCATTTCCATGGATATCCGGTTTTGAGGAAAGAAGTAGGGTCTGTATATTGTGTATATGCGCTTTTGGTTTCAGAAGATTTTTTTTTCCTTTTTACGATTGTCAACTATCATAGAGAGGAAAGGCGGGAGTCAGTAGTATGTTATTTTCTTTGTTCTTCTTTTTTTTTTTCTGTCCTTTTCCTCAAATTTTTCCTCTTGCCTCTGTACAAGGCTGTCATCATGTTTGTTTCCTTTGAAGGAAGAAAGTTGTCATTTTATGTGTACATTATCGCTATAAATAAAGTGAAGATGCAGATTAGTTGATTAACTTTGCTCTGATCATATCCATCACTGTTTCACTTGATCGACCTGTTGTATGAGTTGTACTGAAACTGGGAATGTAATGTCTTTGTCAGGACATTAATCGGCTTGAGAAGATCTGGGATGCCCAAGATTATTCTAGTTTTAACCGCATGATTGAGGATTTTAGTGAAATTTTAAAGTAAGGGCATAAAGTAGGGTTGTTTTCTCTTCATAAGGATCTTGTATTAAATAAGGATTTAAAGTGGTCAATTTAGTATCAAATAAGGGTATAAAGTAAAGTCTTTTTTATTTTATTTTAAAAGAGGTCCGAATTGGATCATGTCTCTAGTAAGGACATGAAGTGGTCAATTTGATTTCAAATGAGAGCCTGAAGTAGGGTTGTGTTTTCAAAAGAGAACCTAAAGTGGATATTGTTTTGTGGAAAGACGTGAGTGGCCGATTTAGCCTTAGATAAGGCGTAAGCTCATTAAGTGGCCCAATCTTCGCAGTTGGCTTGCACATGCGATGCATGTGCTTATTTGGGAGCCAAGAATGCTACGTACGATCAAAAACGAAGAAGATATGTTAGTGCTATTAGGAGAAAAATTGCGGAAGATGCCTAGCTTCTTATTTGAGGCTTTTTCAAATTTGTCCGGCCGATGAGCTTGTGCATTTTTTTGGGACAAGATCAATTCTGGGCATTTTTTTTAGAAAACAGCCACACTTCAGGCTCTTATTTGAGATTAAGTTAGTCACTTTGGGTTTTTATCCGAGACAAATCACTATCGGACCTTTTTTTAAGAAAAACGATCATATTTCTAGCTTATTTGAGATAAAATTGGTCACTTTGGAATTTATCCGAGACAAGCTCCATTTTAGACCTTTTTTTTGAGAAAATGATCACACTGCAAATCTTTATTTGAAATTTTCCCGAGACTTTAATTTGGGGTACGATGAAATGAGTTCGAAAATGCGGATATTTCTACAAAATTCTCGAGAGCTCAACTAGCTGATTTCCTCGACAAAAAAAAAAAAAGAAACTAGCCGATTTCATGTACTTTTGGAGAATCCGTTCTATTGTTTGTGAACGTTGAACATTCTCTGTCTTGACCATTCTATGGATGCTCGAAGATCATTTTCGGATGAGGTAAAATGTACCCTTGGTTGTGCTACGATTGAATGCAACTATTTCTTCCTAGTTACTTCATCAAATATTTTTATTTTGACTGTGTGAATATATAATTAATTAAACGTTACAAAAATATGAATCCACACTAAATTTTTATGAAAAAATTATGTCTCCAAAGCGGAAATAATAATTATATTGGGAGAAATGCATCCGTTTAAAATAGATTGCATTCAACATGTACAGATTTTTTGCCATAAATATAATGTTTCGGAATGATTGCCCTGATCCCATTCGAATAAACAAAAAATAGCCTTTTCTTTTCTTTTTTCGAAAAAACATAAAAACCCCACGATATATTTTGGAAGCTGTGATTTAAGGAAGCTAAAAATGAACGATCTTCGTATTCGATCGATTTCACACCAACTTTGGTGGATTCTTGTTAAATGCCATGACAAAAAAATTGCACCATTCATCGAACGAATTCAATTGGATACCGCACAATTTCGATCGTCGTGCGATGCTCTTGCTATGCAAGCGACATCGACATGGACACAGATTTAGAAAATTAATAATTTCTTTGAAGTGCGCACTGCATTCGGACCATCGAATCCAATGAGAGTTCCTCAAAATGGGCAAGAACATCTTCTTTAAATTCATTGCGAGACAAAACGAACATCGAGGGAACTTACAAATTCTTTGGCTTCGGAAGACTACCAAAAATACAGTCTTTTCCCCCATTAACGCCACTTGCCAAGACAGCCATTATTTAACGGCAAGAGCTCTCCCTCTCTTCGCGCTCCGACGCAACCCCCTCCCTGTGCTTGATCTGCCCCCAGACCTCGGAAATGGTGGGTCTTCTTCATCTTCCTTGTGGGATTTCGGGGAAGAGGGTTTGTTTCTCCTCTTGTTGATGCTTCGTGCCTGCGGTTTCTTGTGGCTCCAGGAGAGGAGGAACACCCTGATCTCGTCTTCTTTTTCATTTCTAAGTTTTGGGTTTTGCGGGTGTCTGATGATGGAGGATTTCATGCTCTTCCGTTGCTTCTGGCGCCATGTTGAGATCGTTTTTCCATGGTCAAAGACGGGATTTTTAGGCTCGTTGTCTGTCCTTGACAACCCGGAGGCAATTTATACGGCTTGTTTGGGTGTTGTCAAGAAGCTCTGTTGAAGTATTTAGGGCTGGGGTTGTGTTTCTGCATTTAAAGTTTGTTCCTTTATGGCGGAGATTATGGAATCTTTCTCGTTGTAAAGCTGTTTTTCGCGACGATCTGTGCCTTTTCGCTTTTTTTTCTTTTTCCTGTCTCAAGAGAAAAAGGCAGCAAGTTATTTTTGTTTGGCAGATTAGTGAGTCCGTAATCTGTTTATTAGGGATATGCATGGATTCTTTTTCTGGATAATCTCAGCAGTTTACAATGATGTGCATGACCTTTTCGATCCGTGCTGTTTTTGGTTTGGACAGACGACATCGAAGCGCTTTGCCGAAAGGAAGGTTGCCAAGTTCCAGAAGAACATTACAAAGAGGGGATCGGTCCCTGAAACCTCAACCAAGAAAGGATATGACTACCCAGTCGGGCGTATTGTCCTTGGCTTCTTTGTCTTCGTGGTTGTTGGATCATGTATGATATTTTACCTTTGTCTAGTTCACATACTCATTATTTGCATGAGGTGCTTTATATCGAGTTTTGTTTGCTTGAATGGTTTAGTGAGACTAGTATAGCTGTTTTACGACGAACAAAAAAAAAAGATTTCAAAGAACTTATTAACTCGATAGGTTGGTATAGCTCTGTTAATGGTATTTGATATGGAGAGGCTGCCAGTCATCTCAGCAGGTGTGGTTAAAATGTCTCCTCTTTTTGTATTTTGCTAGAGATGCAGCAGAGGTAATTTAATCTCAAATCTTACATTGCATGTTTTATGACACGAACTAAAGTATGAGGAAATATCTCAACTTGTGATGTGGGTGTCAAATGTGGCGCCGTCTTAGAATGTTCATTGGGCATTTGAGCATTTTATATGGACTTGTGGGTCGGTGGGATCTTGAACTACACATGAGTCATACAAGTATACATCTGTTTATCCCAGTTTCTTCTGTATACGTAGACTTTTCTGGTTGCATACTATATCCTTTGGTTTGTTTTAATTTTACATTTCTTCTTTCTTCGCCATTTTGTGGCATGTGCAGAATGTCCTGCTGACACGTCTATTGTAGTCTTGTGATATAAGATACTGAGCGTATCCTGGACGGTTTGCTTTTGACATTCATTGCCGTTTGCAATTCTCTTTCAACTTTAAGAGCTGATCAACGTATGAAAGTGCTTAGTTTCCAACTGTTTGTAGCGGTCACCTATATGTACCTGATGTAGGCTGCTTATTGTTATACTCAGATTCAGAGGCTTGAAGTCTCTGTATATACTTTTGAATTCAATAGTTGATGCTAATCACTTTGCTTTTCTGACCGAGGGGACTCGATTGCCATTTTCAGAAGAGTGTTTGACATGCCTTTTTATCTACTGGTTTGCAGCTCTGTTTCAGATAATCAGGACAGCTACAAGTAAGGGAATGGCTTAAGGGCTCTAGCATTAGTCGCTGGAAACTGGAGACACCGGGACATGACGAGTTTCATGTATTTCAGTATATATTTTGAGGAAAAGATACTGGTTTCAGCCTTAGAGGCCGGAAAGCTTCGTGACGATGTATAATGTCTAGCTATATAAAATGGATATCGTGCCTCATTATGGAAATACGGCTACTTGTGTTAAATGCAAAGAATTGGCTAGGTACTTCAAATGCAGAGGAGCCCACTATAGGGAGCATGCATCCTTCAAGATGAGTGACTAATGTCTCTTCATCATGCGTAATATTGTTTGTGCACTTCGCGCTTCAATTTATCGTCATCAGAATATCGAATCTTGGTGCATTTTATTGTACCTCCTAGTCAAAATGATCCATTCTGTATGGATGGTACTCGCTTAATTGATGAAAAATTATAATACATGTGCTGATATCCTGTCAACACGGTTCCGACCCTTAGCTAGCGAGGGAAGAACTCGGTATGGTACAAGAGATTGGCACAATTATGTCCGTTTTGTGGGAAGGGGTAGAAAAGCAACACTGAGAATCATTGAGCAGAAACCTTTGGATGGAAATTGAAATACATCTCAGAAATACTGCTGGTGCGTGGGTGTTCCGTATGTGCATCATTTACTTTCTTCTTATTTGCGACCTGCGCGGGCCATTCGGTCACCGGTACGAGGTTTCTGGCAGCAATCCGAACTTTTGGACAACTTCCTGGGACCAGGGTTGAAACCAGCTTCGTAGAATGTCTCCATATTCCCGTCAGAGAAGCCGACATATCTTGAAGAATTATAATCTAGTTCCTCTTCGAATTCCTGCAGAAGAGTGGTGAATCCTGAATGAAATCAGAAGATATTTCTCGGCATTCCCAGTCAAGAGATACTAAACAACGTGATTTGACACTAGTATATGAGCTTGGAGTGTTCACCTTCGATCTTGTCTTGCCATCATTGGGAGTTAAACAAGGATTCAAGTCCTTGAGGAACAAGTCATCTGGACTATCAGGGGCTGTTGCTTCACTGGAGCTAAACTCCTGAATGAACAGATGTTGAATTACTATTATTGAAGAAAATATAGCAAATGCAGAAGCTAGGAGAAATAGATACAGAAACAGGCCGAAGTAAAAGCAGCCACATGAGAGACCAGTATGCTATGAACTTTTACCAAAGAATTAGCTGCCTCTTCATGGTTGTATATCGGTGTCCTCGGAGAGCTGCCAGTCTGGTGACGAAAACATGCCTTTGCAGAATATTTATCCGCCTTCACCTGCTCAAGCAAAAGCAATTCTCCGTCAGTACCGATGTATGCTTGACCGCATGCACCGTTTTAACATACAAGAAAACACATGAATTTCCACGTGAAGCGTCTGGTAGAAACATCATCTAGACTATCGATAACAGAAACTTATGTTCATAGTGAAATGAAATGAGAATCCAGAGAGATACATGACATATTCTTCTCTTAAAAGGGTGGTTAGATTATATACCCCGTGTTAGAAATTGAAGACAACCGTTTACTTCATGAACAAGAACTATTTTCACGCAAATGATCAACTGTGGAAGAAATTGTTCCAAGAATGAGTACAAACTATGACTTCGACCACAAAAGAACTCACATAAACTTCACACACTATAAACAGAAGTCTTAAGTTTCTAATCATACCCATGAACTAATCCGAATCCAAGGCGATCCCACTTCATTAAAACAGCAGATGTCAAAGCAATGTTACCTCAGCGATATCATCAGCAAGGCATTGGAGCTGGCCAGTGAGAGAAGTGACCTGCTTCTGTAGAGCAGGGATTATCATTTTGGCTTGCCTCAACTCTGTCCCTTGCTTTTCCAATTGTTCTTGAAGCTCATTATTTGTCACCTCGGGGAAAAGTACCGCGCTCTTTAATGCCTTGATCTCTACCCTCTGGCTCAAGCACAGATCTTTCAACTTCTCAACCTGCAAATTTGAGAGAACAGAGGATCCACACGTTCGAATTTAGTACTGGGTACAAAACCAGAAAATGGGGCTCCAGGGAAACAAGTTAGTGTTTTTTTCTTTCGTAATCTTTGGTTTTTAATCTTTCTGGTCGATCAAGTTTGTCCTTTGAATCCAAGAGAATGTGCCGCAGGTTAGAAACTGATGCGATGAATCAAATTCACATCAGATTCAATTCAACAGTCCAAAGTCTGCTGAAACATTCAATCTGCTAATTACTAAAGGTCCTTCAGTCAATTAAGCAAGAGCTTCGAATCGCAAACAAAGAAAAAAAATTGATCTTTCTACCGAATTAGATCAGAGATCATTAGAATGTATATGAAAAGAATTTCAGACCTTAAATCTAATATCAACAGCATCCAGAAAAATCGCATGGAAATTCAAAGAGCGAATAGAAAACTAGCAAACGAAGACTAACTTCTCTGTTCTTCTGCTCGAGCATCAGCTTGAGTTCAGCGACCTCCATCTCCAACTCCTTGTTCGCGCTCAGGAGCTCTCTCTCGCTCCTCAGCACCATCGCCAGCGTCCGCGCGTTGTTGTTCCCCCCGCCCTTGACCTCCGTCAACGCCTTCACGCCCTCTTTCTTCACCTTCTTCTCGAACAGCTTCCTAGGCAACACCCCCAGCTGGTTCCTCCCCTTCGCCCCCTTCTTCAAGTCCTCCGCGATCACGTCCACGGGGATCACCAGATTGGCGCTCCCCAGCTTCCCCCTCGAAGCCACCGCCGCCGCCGCCGCCGACGACGGCTTCTTCCCCATGAACCTCTTCACCATGTCGGCGAAGTTCCGGTTCTTCGCGCCGCCGGAGGAGGGGAGGTCGGGCGCCTTGGCCCTGACGAGCGCGCGGGAGGAGGAGGACGAGGAGGAGGACGAGGAAGCGGGCGGCGCGAGCGCGGGGGAGGACTTGCCCGGCTTCAGCTTGAGCTCCGCCGAGGACGACGTGGAGGAGCGCGAGTCGTAGGAGCTGTAGCGCGACGCCGCTTTGAACGCCGCCGCCATTTGTTGCCGCAGAAGTTCGCTGCGGATTCGAAGAGGAGGAGGAGGAGGAGCTTGTCGCGATTCAGACGAGCATCTCTAGGGTTTCTGAACGACGACGACGAAGAAGAAGAAGACGACGACGAAGAAGACGGAGATCTGCACGCACAGAAAGAGAGAGAGCGCGCTTCGAGCTGAATTTGAAAGGAAGAAGATGGGACACGTGGCGGCCGGTGGGGGAGTGTCGGGGGGGCGCTGTCCGGATTCAAAAGATTTTCGATGGAAGCGTGAAAGGCGCGGTTTTTCCTGATTTTCCGGGGCCTTCGTTTGTATTTAATTGCGAATTCGCCCCCCGACCGTCCCCGAAATTACGAATCCGGCCCCCGGGAGAGGCGGACCGGACCGGACCGGGTCGGGCCGGGCCGAGACTAGCCGGTTTGATTCGGACAAGTCGTGCTCGTTTCTTTTTGGGATAATGACACAAACAGCCCCCAAACTTTTGCCCAATGTGTAATTTGGTCCATGAACTTTTAATTTGTTCAATGTAGTCTATGAACTTTAGGCGATTATTCAACATGGTCCCTAAACTTTTAGTTTGTTCAATATCATCCCTGAACTTTTGGTAAATGTTCAATTCAGTCCCTAAACTATATGAAAATGTTCAATGTAGTCCCTGAACTTGAATTAATGGAAAGAATTGCATTGAACATTTTCATATAGTTTAGGGACTGAATTGAATATTTACCAAAAGTTCAGGGATGACATTGAACAAACTAAAAGTTCAGGGCCCACGTTACATATTGGGTTAAAGTTCAGAGATTACATTGAACGAATTAAAAGTTTAGGGACCAAATTTCACATTGAGCCAAAGTTCAGGGACTGTTTATGTCATTTTCCATTTCTTTTTCCAACGTTGTGCTGATCGGTTTTGTCAGCAGCCCCGTTTCAACGTTGGGGGAGTTTTTTCATCGTTCTTGTTCTCCTCTGCATTAGCTGTACTGTTGTATTGCTGGTTTAGCTGTGAATTTTAATCTGGTATGGTCCGTTTTGTTTGGTGCTGTAGGTGATTAAGCCTTTGTGACTTGTGTTGGGAAGCGGTTGGCCTGCTTGGTTTGAGATAATAAGATTCCTTACTTATCCCGAAAAAACAGAAGAAGATACTTGTGTCGTTTATTCATAATCGAAGTTGCTTCTTGTAGAATCGACATATTAGTTACGAACTCTATGACAAAATATCTTTGCATCATGTTTATAGCGATTCCTCCCTATTCACTGGTCAGTGGCGATCATGTTGGTGCTGGATGGTCCGAGAAGCGCAATAAACAATGAAGGATTTATCAAAATGCACATCGTTAGCTGGGCAAAATTGATGCGGGGATAGCTTGCTAGAAGTCGTGCACCTTTTACTTGATGCGATTTGCGGTAAATCTTTTTAGAAAAAGAACGATCGAGTACTTCGAGAATGACCGAGAATCTGGTCTAGCAACCTGTCCTTGTGGGGGGAGCTCCTCGGGGGGTCTCGATCTGGAGCAAATGAAGTGGGTTGGCTCGACGGCCGAACGTTGGTCGAGTCCTTCATCGACTCGGAGCTGCGTCTCGGAAGATCTTCTTCCTCTTTAGAGGCGATCGGCTCCTCTGGCGAACGCGAATGCTTGGGAACATGAAAGGAGTCATTCATAGACAGCAATTTCTGTCTATGAAAAGAGAGAGAGAGAGAGAGAGAGAGAGAGAGAGAGAGAGAGAGAGAGTACTGTAGAGTACAAACAGTTCAGCAATGAATGCACCATTCCATTCCAATGTGCAGCATGTGAGGCTCAATACCCAGTTCGCTTCCAAGTTAAAAAAAAATCAATCTCCCCTCAGAGAAGGGAAGAGACTGTCTATCTGAGTCTATTAACACTGAGAGTTGGACAGACTTGCACTATACTTCATCATATCATTCTATGAGGGTTACTATCAGAAAAGGTATAAACATCAAAGGTGCAAAAGCCGATTCAGTCTAAAGCTACATGCCTGCTTCCGCACGCCGAGCAAAACCACGGGCTAAATAAACTGTACCTTTGAAACTGGGTTACGACGTCCAGTTGGATGGACCACGACTAAAATTTGTAGGGGAGTCTTGATCCTGTGGACGGTTGAAGCCGCTGCTATGTTACTGTACACCGAATTTCATATAAGAAAAGAACAGATTAGAAGAGTCACCAGTCACCAACACCTTGTCTCCATATTCCCAACCAAATAGCCTCCAACCCCGGTTCAGGATTCATCAAGAATAGACATCTTTCCTTCGGCAGCTTGAGTCATCAAATCCACAGCATCTGCTATTTCAAATAACCGGCTGGCGGATCGAGGGTTCTCAGCCGACGCAGTTCTTTTCTCATTGCCAACGGCAACCGTGGCAGTGCCGCTACCACCATTGTGGTTGGTAATGCCGATTGATGTTTGGACATCATGTTGACTGAAACTGGTTTGCTTGCTCATTCCCACACTTCCTTGGACATTATGAGATGCGGATAAATCAGGCAATTCTTTCTCTTCTATGATCACTTTTCCCTTATAAGAGGATGGGTCAATCTTCTGAGACCCCGGTGGAGATTTGTCGCGGTCAGGTACCTCTTGAATGGGAGGACATGATGAGGACTTAATGCCAGCAGAAGAATTTGCTGATAGAAATGCATTGATGTCAGGTTTTGACTTAATGTCTACCCATCTTTGATCAACCCAGTCTCTTGACACACGGACTTTCTTTTTTAGGAATGTAGCTACCCTGCCTTCACCTAAAATAATGGGGGAAAAGAAACATTATTTAGCCAAAAAGCTTAGTGGATTTACACAACCACAAATTAGTTCCTCAACTCAGAAAAATGGCAATTTACACATGAATTCCAGATCCGGAAACAAAGTAAGGGCAACCCATCAAGAGTTTGCTAGATTTGAGCATACCTGGGAAATAAACCTCCAGAGTATTCTTTCCGGAGACCATAAGTTGAGTCACAACACCTTCCCACCAACCATCGTGCCACCATGCATCTACTGCCATTCCAACCTCGAAATTACAGCCACCAGAATTCTTGGGAGGGCGTGGCCGAATTGTTAGTCGGCCTGGGCACCGCATGCCCAATTTATCAGGAGAAGCCACCTTGACTGCGGGAACCCATTCCTGTGATCAAGAAACACGGAACTCATTTGCTTTTTCTAAACATTTGTTCGACATTTGATATGACTTGTAAATGTCCAGAAAATGTTTACATTCCGGTAATACAGCATATATCTCCAGCAAATGCTACTGCTAGCTTGGACTTTCAACTATATAGTAAAAGAGTTAGATTATCAACTGAATTCTACACACCATTTTCTAAAGCTGGAAGATACAAGCCCCATATCAAAGTGCCCCAGCACGAGCATACTGACTCATTAACACCAACATCTCCTACTCCCAGTTCAAAAGAAGCAACCAAAAGAAAAAAAGTTCAGATATTCGGAAAAGCCCATACCACGAGTTTAGCAATATCATCTGCATCCAGTAGATCATCGTACTTCACTTTCAGACGCTTCTCTGACCTTTGAATTATTTGGCATCTAAACCAGCAGCCTCGAATGCCACTATCTTGGCAAAGCAGCTCTATCTTCTCGTTAACTTTAAACGAAAAGGGAACTTGGGGTTCCATGGTTGTAAGTTTGATGCCTGTGTTTTTCCTCGGCAACTTCAATTTCAGCTTAGGGTATGCCGATGGAGTCTGGCTCTGGGGGTCTGAAATTTTAATGCCTGAACCACCACTTCCATCATTGCCCTTGCACTCTTCCTCATCCTCCCTATTCTTATTGGGGAACATATTTTTGGTCTTACCGACAAAAGAACTATCAAGACAAGACAAAATTGCTTGACTCGGGTAGCCACGTAATTTGGCAAGTGAAAAGGGCTTGACCTTATTGTTCTTAAACTGTCTCGAGCACATGTATATTCCAGCTGCTGAGCCCGGTGAAACAGAAGCCGTGCATCTTTCATAATGCTGGGCAGTCAAAACTGTTGCTGGACCCTCAACACATTCAGCACTGATCGTCTGAACATAAGGTGTGATAAGAACTTCCCTTGGATGCAAATTCAACTGAGGAATTACATGCTGGACTTCCTCATTCTGGTAAAACCAGCGCACTTTCACCTTTTTCAGTCCTTTCTTATCCTCGTACATATCTTCCACATAACCAAGGTATAAACAACCTTCTTCGGCCATGATCAGTGCAAAAGAATGGATCTGAAAATTAGAGGGTCAAGATCTTGAGGAGAAGAAAGTCCATGTAACTACGACAAAATAAACATGTTTGATAGATGGGTTCACGGCAATAAATTAGCATTTGGAAGAAGTGCAGAGACTTACAGCAATGGTGATTTCTTTTCTGTGAAAAGCTGGATAATGTGTGAGCTGTTTAGCACAAACCCAAGCAACACCGGCCCACTCAATCTCTTGGTCTATAGCTTTCAATTTCCTCGGAGGCTGAATCAATGATGCGAAATTCTTTAACATAGAAAACCTCTAGGGCAACAAATCACAGTAATCTAACACTCTAATCTCTAGCTTTCACAAGCATAAAACATACTCACCACAGCTTCATAGGAAACCGGAGCTTCAACTGTGTCATCAGTCTCTGAATCTGCATGAATAAACCAATCTTGTCAGAAAAATTCAGGCCCAAATAAAAGCACCACGTTCATTCATAGAATTGTGGAGCATATCATAAAAATAACTCTTACTTCATATGAATTATCAACCAGACAGAAGAAATACACAACCACCAACACTAAATACCCTATGCGAAAAAGGGGATAAAAGCATGAAATCTCCATCTCAAAATGACTTGATTGACTGAAAACACAAAAAACCGTAGCAAGAAAGGTGCACACTGAGCATTATACCAGCACTGACAGTCTTGTCATCATACAATGAATAGGTGTAAGCTACCCAAGTGGCATCATCCATTGATTCAACAAATAGCTCGATGAGACAAAAATCAAGACACTGAACACAACAAGCCTTGTCCTTATCAGGCACTAGCTCCTTTATAGAAAAACGAATGTCAAAGCATGCTCCAGTATAATAAATCATTTTGAGCAGAATTTAACTTTCATTGAGGAGCTAGAATCATAAAATCTCAAGACATGCACACACAGGGAGAACATGTGTACTAAGTTATCTGAAAGGGTCAAATGATTATTCTGTCTGAACGTTAATGTGCAGACCAAAGTTTATAATGGAGAAATATATCAATTAACAAAGAGAGTGCTTACAGTTTGGCTAGGTAAGTACACAAGCACACAACAACATACACAGGTGTAGACACCAAACACGAAAAAAGTCAGATAAATGCACAAGAATGCAAAACAATGCAGAAGACCAATGTCATGGGCAGGCAACCATAAGCAGGCACCACACCAGCAGTCACAGATGCACCAAACAATGTCCCCAACGGAAGGCTACTCAAGAGTGCTGCAGAGTGAACCCTGAGGCAAAACTGGCCCTTGTTGAGTCCGTGATGAAAAAAATCCTGGGGTTGGATTCAACACTTGGCATGAGTAGTTCTTCCAAAGAGTGCAAGTTGATCATGATGGGCACCAAAATGAAGCAAGTGGCAGTACATGATGCTTTGTGTCAGATCTCACATGTGTGATAAACACATGCACTCGCATTTTCCTCTCTACGCGACAACCCCCCAAACCACTCTCTCTCTCTCTCTCTCTCTCTCTCTCAGATTGGCACTTTAATGCAAATTAAGGGAGTAATAGCATCATCATAACAAAGATCTACTTTTCTAAAGGAATGATAAAAATCAAAATCGATCAGCTTTCTAATATCATTAATAGCATCCATTCTACAAGGAAAAATTCAGTATAATCATGGGCGAACTGCTACGAAGAAAGATAAAAATTGTACAGTGAAGATAAGGATCAACAATCCATATAACTACCAACCTACAAACAATCTATCTAACAACAGAATAGTGGGCTATATGCATTAAATATGTACAACAAACTCATAATAGCTTCTTGGGATTTGTTACCCAGATAGATCTTTACAAGCCAATGATGAACTAGACTACTTGAAGGATATCACAGAACTCTTTTCAGAAAACCACCAGCTTATTAATTAAAATCTATCAAATAAAATGAAAAGATCATTGGAATATTTCAAAAGTTCATCATAAAAGGGAATAAATTCCAGTACCAAAAGCCAAAGGGGCAAATACAATGCACAACATCAGTTTGCATAGCAAAGAAAGAATCTGTAAAATCACCAAACAATGGTGCAAAGCAAGAGCAGCCAAATAATTGGTTATTGAAGAAATTGATGATACCCATTTCATAACAGCAGTCAGCATACTTCATTGAAGAACTCATCGCAGAAGACCTCTCTCTCTCTCTCTCTAGATAAAAGAAAATTTTGTTTCTGATCAAAGAACAGTTGTAGGACCAACTTAAATAGCGTGCAAAAGACACATGAGTGCAGCTCATTTGGAAGAGAGTTTAATATAATCAATCCTGTAATATTGGCAAAAAATCTCTTCAAAACGGCAACTACATAAATGCGGTCCTTAAGGCAAAGAATTAAGAGCCTTGACAAGATTTCGTGGCAATTTTATTGGTCAATGAACGGCTCATATCCAATAATCTCTCTCCCTCACTCTCTCCCCCCGGGCACATGTGCACGTGACTACATACTAGAAAATCCCAAAAGGAAGTATAAGGCAGAGAAAACTTAGCACCCGAAAAGACAAAGACGGAATTAATACGAAGGGGACACAGAAAATACTTGCCTGCGATAATTGTACAGAATTAACAGAATCTTCTGCATTTACACAGTTGATCACTACTCTGCTCTTTAGTAGTCGAGTGTGCATGTAATGGCAGCTCACTAAACCTCGCACATATGCATATGCGGGGATTTAACATCACAGTTCAAGGTTACGAGCCTCGAAACTAGGAAGACCACTCGGCCCATGATGAATAACCATCATAGAAATCGAGGGTCCACATCATTATCATATGTAGGACCACTATTCCATGGAGGCTTTAAACAAATAGTCTCTTCAGTGACATTACAAATTTGGTAGTATTAAGTAGATATGTATCTTCATTTCACGGTGATAAATGCAATGCAAATCTCCTGTTCGAATACTAAAATGATTTTGAAGCAGGAACAACCAGGCGACAAGGCTTCCTATTGCTGCCACTGCTGTTGTTCTTGAAGAATGGAGTATTATCAAAGATAATGCGTTTTCACAATTTTTAGGCAATTCTACGTCTTTAGGCAATATAATTCCTAAAGACATAGAAATGACACTAAGAACATCCCAAAGCGAAATGCTGAGTGATTCACGTCATTCCAAGCCCACAAAAACATGATTCTCAAGATGGATAGTGTAATTACCAGTAACACAAGGGTCAGCAAAGCATTCAAGAATAAACACGGTGAGAACCTTTTTCCAAAAACAGCTTAAAAATAAAAGATGAAATTAAACATTTACTCCAGCAACAGTGTTTTATTGCAATATCGCCAAATGAACAACGGATATTGGGTGTAGGACTACTTCCACGGAGATACATCAGCCCAACATAGTAAGACTATATGATAGCTAGCTGCCTACATTTTAATGATGGATTACTAACTGCCAAAACTCTAATGAGAGTATGTGATAATTATCTTCATCAGGTTTCTTATATTCAAGAACGTGACAGGAAACTACTCTTACATACTTTGACAAGATCCAGAAGTAAATATTCCACTCCCTTAGAATGCTTCCACTACTCCAGATCATCCAGCAAACGGTCCAATTTAAGTACTTAAATATCAACTAGGATTATTAAGATCCTTTCTCAGACCCAGCATCATAAAAGAAGTGCTATTATTGACACTATAATTATAGTGTCTTTCTCTTTCTCTCTCTCACATCACTTTCATCTTCGTAATTTGGGTTTGAACGGCATTAGCTCCCCTTACTTTAATAGAGTAATCATCACCCTCCTTAACTATCAACTCCAACATTTTGATCTTCGGCAAATGCATATCACTTCAAGCGCTGGTCCCTTAACACCTAAAAAATCTAGTGCTGACACATGTGCTAATCTGGAAAATCTTCCGAAGGTTATATAGCTAACAAATGGTCACTGAATGCTAATAGCTCAAATTGGTAATGCTCTGATATTTATTGTGAAACAAATGCCAAAAAAGCTATTTTTAATGTCCTTAACCGCACATTGCCACCCATTATCCAGAGACATGCGAGCATGTCTAGCTCTGTCTCAAACATAATTGTGCATATTAAAGTTTCCAAATGATAATGATGGAAGAACCATGATTCGCCAATGAAAAGTGATTGTCAAAATTCTAGATAAACGAAAACCATGTAGTACAGCTACGATGCTTTTAAAGGCTAACTCCACCATTACGAGCTCATTCCAAGGACAGTACTGATTCCCAATGGAAGGTTAGGTTTGTTAGACCTTTTTTTTCATCTATTATCATATTTCCCAATCTTTAGCATCTCATCCAGCACATGTGCTCAACATAAAGTTAGAAGACTTATATGGGTTCTCTATTAAATTGACTACAGTATCTAGTGGTGAGTGATTTACACTAGGAATGCAGAAACATACATGTCCTGAACCTGCCTCTCAACACGATCATGTTTTATATCTATATTCTGAAGAGAGGGTTCGCAAAGCCATCACGGCATCACATGTCACAATTCACATACTAGCCAAAGAAGCCTGACCTATGAACTCGTTTGTCGGAAACCAAAATTTACAAACAATTGATATAACAACGCAAGGGAAACAAATGGCATTTAAAAAATATTGAGCACTCATAGCACGTACTTTGAACCAATGAGGCGAGCAATTCCACGACTTCTCTTCTAGCTCGCCACTTTTTGTACCCTTTAATCAACCCATTGGACCCGTATAACTGCACAAAATCATCCGTCGCGATATACATCATGTGCCTAATGCTCCTCTCAGTCCCAACAACTGCCAGCACTGAATTCCCCGACGCATCCTTCAAGTAATAATGCGCCACCCTGTTTCCTCGCTCGGCACATACGATCTGCTCCTCCCACCCCACGAAACCGTCCTTATCATCAGACATTCTGAACCTCTAGACCATTCACAAGGGTTCCACTACAACCTCAAGAACAAAAAAAACAAAAAAAAAAGAATCCCTCAATTCAAGTCTACATAATCAAACCCCTTCAGTTGGACCGCTGAGACACGCTTGGGACGGACAACCACAAAACCCTAACATCATTTCAACCCTCCTAAAACCTTAAACCCATGTAAAAACCAAGCGAAAAAAAAAAAAAACGAAGCCCGGCTCAAGCCCCTGATAGCAAAAGCTCGCTCTGGCGTCAACCCAGACAAAGCAGCCGAAAAACAATCATGGGTGAGAGAGAAAATCACGAGGCTGAGAAACAGAACGAGCAAGGAACGGAAGGCACGGGACTTTCCAGAGACATAAAGGCCGAGCAAAAACAAAGCCTGCCCAAATCACACACCTCCCGGACAGCTCCAGACACGAGAGATAACGAGAGTGATCGAAGAGGGGGGAAAAGGGTCGTCCAGAGAAGAACGAGACGGGCAAGGGAGAGAAAAGGGTCTCACCGGCACCAAAGAACTAGAAGGGAAAAGGAGGCATTTTGACGCCACCCCAGAGCAGCACACAGACAACAACGGTGGGCACTGCAAATGTGTTTTATATTGTTTGACCGCCGCACGCCCAGAGAGACAGGGCAGGGGAGGGGAGGTGGGGGCAGAGGAAACGAGAGAGAAGTTGGGGGGCGGGGGGGGCTTTGGGTTCAAGGGACCATCATCATCATCACACAATCCGCTAAATTCGGCAGGTGGGAGAGAGATTGAAGCGAGCGGACCGCAGCGACACGAAGAAGAGAAGAAATTCGAGCATCGTCGTACAATCAGCCAAAGCATTAACGATTAACGAGCGAAAAAACAAGAAAAGGAGGCCTTTTTTTTTTATTTATTCTTCTTTATTTTTTTTTGCGGTTTACGGAGCAAGGCAAAGCGGCTAGGAGAGGACAAAAACCTTCCCCATGCGCCACCGGTTTTGTTTTGTGCGAGGCGAGGGAAAAACCTGGCCTGAAATTTGCTCGCGAAAAAAGTATTTCATGCGACGGAGACATTTGCTTTCGATGGTGAAACTTTGAAAGCAATTTTTGCCGTCGAAAGACATCCTTGGAAAAACACGTTCTTCCTTAATTATAATTTTACCTAGAAAATGCTTGCTTATGATGTTTTTTGAGATGACGCCATTTTAATTTTTGTACTTGTGCTTACGGCTGTTGCGTAACTAAAACTCCATGCATGGCGGAGGTGCATCGCGGTGGTAGCTGATGGTAGTCGTCTGCAACCATTGATCTTACTGGTGTGCGGTATGGTAGCCTGGTAAGCAGATGACGGTAGTATCAGAAGTGGCGGTTGGTGGGCAGTGACGGGCGCTTGGAGATGACTACCGAAGGCTTGAGGACGATCAATTTTTTGGTGGTAGTATCACGAGCATCGGTAAGGGGAGGCGTTGATGGCAATTGGGCAATGGCGATGAATGGTGCCTGATTCCATTAATTATGATAGCTTTTGTGATCGATAATGATAAGAATGGAAACCACGACTTTCATCATTGCTTATGGAAATAGTGAAATTTATGCAATTAATTATGATTGTCTGTCATTAACCTTTGGTAGAATCAGCTAGGAGATCAAAATAATGGTGGTTTATCCCGTGATGAATGTGAGAGGCCGCTTATCTTTAACATGTGAACTTAGCTGATATAAAACTATATGATCAAATCAATTTTTTTCGAATTGTCGTTTAGATGTATCATTTCTCATTCATGGACGTTGATAATTTCTTTCCGTTTAGTGGCATCTTAAATTTAGTTTTGGTTCTTGTCCTATTTCATTACTATTTAGTCCCCTAAGTTATCTCCCGTGACAATGTCAAGACAAAATTCAAATTTTCCTCCAAAAGTGGATGGAATTTGGTGAGTCAGCACCGGTAAATTGACATGTGGTGCCTATATGTACAAGCTTCTGAAAAATTGCACTTCCGTCCTTGTACTTTTAGGAATGTTTAAGATCGGTCCTTATATCTTTCTTTTTTTTCAATAATATTAGTCCTCATATCAACTTTTTTGGAAATGTCCTCTTCGATTGATTGATAAGGTTTTAAGTACGGTTTTTCCAAATGAGACTCAAATGATGCTGTCTATAGTTTAATACACGATATTTATGTGTAATAAGGTTTTAGAGTTAATGGCTTTATTAATAATAAAATAATTTTTTTAAAAAACTACTTAATAATGAGATTTAAATTTGACACCGTATACGAACAACCTTCCCACAACATAAACAGGTCTTATAATCAATTTGATATGGACTGGTTTATAATACTATAATTCAAAGATTTCTTATAACCTACCTAAAATATTTTGCCTACAAAATAGTGAGTTAAAGCTGTAGTAAAGTATGTAAAAAACTATCATATTTTTGTCTAAAAGTAGACCTAGCTATATAGATCTATGCTATAGCCCAAAATTATATAGACGTATGCTGAAAATGAGGATGTTAAGTTATTGCTTAGGATGAAATCATTTATTTTAATAAGACTTTCAATCAGATTGGGCACACTTATAAAATGTGGTAAAAATCAATTCATACTTGATTTTTTTTTTGGTAAGGAATTCATACTTGATTTTGACTTCACATTTTCATAAGATTTCGGATTAAGACATGAATTGAATTCTCATTGAAAAATAGTAGAATGACTAATTTTATGAATAAAATAAAGTACAAGGACTAAATTTAACATTCCTAAAAGTACATGGACCAATAGTATAAAATTTTTGGAAACTTGTACATGTCAATACCACGAGTTTAGGTACTAGAACTGACTCAACATATTTCCTCTAAAAATCGAATTTTGTCCATAAATTGTCGCCCGAGATAAGTTGGGGAACTGAATTATAACAAGAAATAGTATGGTGACAAAAAATAAATTCGGGTAACAATATGAGGACGAATTTGTAATTTCCCCTTAAATAAATACTTCTCCAATCAACGGCTTAATTTAGTACTACGAAACTCAAAATATTTTATGCTTTATTTTCGCAAAATCAAAACTTGTGGCAAATGCATTTGGCGGACCTTCTTTTTATTAATGCTCTGAAGATTGTCTTAAAAAATAAATTAGAGGAAGATAACAACGATACTTTTGAGTTTTCCAATTAAAAATAAGAACAAATGCAGCAGCAGTAACAACAACAACAAATCTCTAAAATGACGAAAAACAAAATTTCATGAAATTATTTAGAAGGTCTTTTGCGCCAGCCCAGTCATAAGGCCTCAATTCTTAGTGCAAGCCCATCTCTAATCTTGATCTTAGCCCGTGCAAATATATCAGTCTGTCATCATTATCCTCTCTTTTCCATTGATAAGGCGCACCAAAAAATGCCACACCACTCATACATACGAGCTAACAGAAGCAGTGACTCAACATGAAATGAAGACACTGGTTCTGCAATCGCAGTTCCTTCTTCCAAGAAGCACCAAGCTCTCCAACCCAAGATCCAATGCCACCACTTTCATCCCCTCAAGAATCATCACATCATGCAGTAAGCACCACTCTCCACCATCTCCTTCTTCATCATGATGAGCATCTTCCGAATGCAATTCCATTTCAAGACCCATAAAAGCCTTCCAGAAGTCCCAAAATCAGCACTCTCATTATGTTTCACCAGATGGGTGTTCGTAAAAGGTGGTTTTAGGTGCTGTGTCACTTGGGATTGTGCTGGTCCTTATGCGATCTGAAGACCACCGCCGCAAGGCTTTGGCCTTTGGTCCCGAAGGGCCACTTGCAGAGGAGTTCTGAGAGAATGTCGAGATATGCACTGCATGCCCTCACCGTGTGTACAGGTGCTATTTACACTATATTTCTGCTCATCTTGGAGCTGCTCAAGAACCGATTTCCGCAATTCTGATCCTGATGATCTTAAGAGGTAGCAGCTACATTGTGTACCAGGTGGGGGCTACCATGGTTGGGGTCAACGAATTCTCTTATGATTATGCATATTAATTAATTTAAAGTCTCAATTTCTACTGAAGATAGATTCTCTCATGTCTTTTCATGTTGCTCTCTGCTTTTATGCCCTCGATACATGAACCATAGTTCTTGGCACAGTAGAACATTACCAAAGTCTTGCTCAGAAAATATGACGATGTTCATTGCTGATTGGTCATGCTTATCTCTTGCATGATGTCCTATAATGTCACTTAATGAACATAACTCTGTAACTATATGTTGTATGCTTGGCATATTAGAACGTATCCAATTACGGATAGTTTGGTTTTGGATTTTGAGATGGTTAAATACTCGGTAGGCTAGCTCAATTTGTAAGTAGTTTGAATGAGTCCTCGAGATGTGTTTATTTTCGAGGCACAATGTCGTCTCAAGCTGTTGACAACTAATTTATAGACTAATCGATCAATCGGCCAGCTCATGTTCTATTGCAAATATATAGAGCGCAATCAACATAATTAACTTGGCCATTATCAATAAGGACATAATAAATTCGCACTATTATGTCATGAACATACGAATTGTCAATTATTTTAATGAGCGCAAATGCTACCTGCTAAAATATTGTAGCGAAAACTGTATTCGACAATCAACATTATTGAAGTGGTTAAGACAACCAGACATGTGAAAGTGAAGTGCTTGTTGATCGTGAAATTAAATAGCAAGAAGAGGGGCACACACTATATTTGGGCTAATGGAGTCGGGGAAGAATACGAAGATCTTTTACACTTGACATTCCTATTCTGACTTCGCGTTGGACTCCGTGCGTGACAAGGACTGAAATAAGGAAATATCGGTTTGACTTTGACCAAGATCTTTTACCTCTTTTCATATATAATTAAGTATCCCTTTTTCATTAGATGTTAAGGTTGTTGCAGCGTGGTCGTCGTGCCGTTGATGTCCAGTGAAAATTCTGTAGAATTACACTAATAATTCAAGTGTGGAAGCCAATTGATCTTGTGATAAGATTTAAGACTATTTTGTGAAAAATTATAGGCTAACACTATGTTATAAGTTATTGAGAGTAATTAGGGCTTATGAAATATTAAGAGTGTTTGAATGACTCAAGTTGGGTTGTAATCTCCGTTGTATCGTTTGATTTATAGTGGAATTATTTGATGCTCTTCCCGTGGACGTATGTCACCTGACCGAACTACGTAGATCTGATGTCCGATCTATTTTCTTATTCTTTTTATTTTATCGTTTGATCGCTTGCTTCCGCAACAATAATTAACTTGGCAATTATTAATAAGGACATAATATATTCACACTATCATGCCATGAACGTACGAATTGTCAATTATTTTTATGAGTGCAAATGCTACATGCTGAAATATTTTAGTAAAAATTGTTTTCCACAACATGCTATAGAATCAACATAATTAACTTGGCCATTATTAATAAGAACATAATATATGCGCACTATTATGCCATGGACATACGAATTGTCAATTATTTTAATGAGCGCAAATGTTACATGCTGAAATATTTTAGTAAAAACTGTTTTCCACAACATGACACATAATCAAAATAATTAACTTGGCCATTATTAATAAGAACATAATATATTCGCACTATTGTGCCATGAACAATTGTAGATTATTTTAATGAGTGCAAATGCTACACGCTGAAATATTTTAGTAAACACTGTATTCGACAACATGCTATGGAATCAATTTATGAGTTGATCTAATCAGTTATATTATTGGGTTGAACGATCCTTGTTCCCTAAGATTGGCTTTGGGCCTTCCCTATGTAGCTTGGGTGGAAGGCGAAGAAGGCCTCCTTCCAAGGGTGCCCGAGCCATCACTCAGATACTGCTCTAGAAGAGCTAATTCTCATTTCCTTTTTTAAGGTTTATCAATATTGAATCGAT